CTTGAATTGTTCCATTGTTTCAGACACAAAGCAACTTCCTCCCGTGCTACGTCCGACAAGAACTTCTCGTGTAGAATGAGACGGCTCATACCATTATACAGGTTGTGCGGGTTTTTCTTCTAAAATGGATGCTTGTCTTTTAGAGACTGAGCTGAGACCCCCCAACTCATTTTACTCACTGGGAAGCAGTGGGGGGGGCTAGGCGATAGAGCACTGGATTGGGACTCAGGAGACTTGGGGTTTGATTCGTGTCTCCTCCTCTGGTTTGCTCAATGGCCTTGGGCAAGTCACTTTGCCCCTCTGTGCCTTAGCTTCCCCATCTATAAAATTGGAGTAAATCATCTTTTTAAGGGCTTTGAGATCTGCAGATAAAAATAGCATAAAAGAGCTAAATATTATTACTACACGTGCTACCAACGATCAGCTAACAACTTTAGAACAAGGCTGACCTAGCCCTAGGTGTCCACAAGCAACCTAGAGGTTAAGGTTTAATCACCCCCATTTCCCATGCATCACCCAAGTCCCCTTTGTGTATTGTGGTCAACATGCAGCACGCTGTATCTCACCTGTATTGAAGAATCTGAGCATATTAAATCGCATAATCCAGATAATTCTATGGTTTAACACGCCTTCTCTAGAAGTGAGGGAAAATTACTCTCATTGTCTTTGTCTTTCTCTCTTGTATAGAGCATGTGACTAAATTCTTATGTCTGGTACCAAAATTAGTAAATTGTCCTCTCTAGCATTGGCAGCCAGATTGAGGGTATGTCTATACTGCAATCATGGGGTGTGATTGCAGCTCAAGTAGATATACCAGAACTAGCATTAAGCGAGCTACTGTGGGTACCAGAGCAATGAAGTCGTAGCAGCATGGACTTTAGTGCTGCTACATAAGCCCACCTGGGTAATCACTCAGGTAGCTATCCCGTGCTGAAGCCCACTCTGCCATAACTTCACTGCTGCATTTCCAGAGCTAGATAGGTTAAAGCTAGCTCCGGAATGTCTATATGACAATCACAGCCCATGATTGCAGTGCAGACATATCTTTAGGTACACACCAACCTTTGGGAAGAAACCGCCATACAGCAACCTGAAGTGTCTATAACCATTCAAAGGGAGTGATAGAGATAAATGGGATAATGAGATGAAATTAAAAGGAAAATTTAATCTGAATAGTAGCAAATGTTCCCTGACAGAGAGATCTATCTCCTGCAGAGTAGTCTCCCGGAGCCCCATTGCAATGAGAGTGTGCCATTTACAATTAAAAGAGATGGCACACTCTCACAGTGGGGAGGGAGCAATCCTGCACTGGCAAAGTTGAGGGAAACCCATCTGCTGGGTCTTTTTTGTTCTTGAATTTCTGTGCGTCCTGGATCTAAGTCTAGGTTTAATGGTCAACCAGATTTGAAATTGAGTCAGGAACCTCTCCTGCAGCACAGAGAGAGTTAAAGCTCTCAGTAGAGGAATGGCTACAGGTGCAGGCGGCAATTGTAAGGTAGCAGGGCTGGGCCAGGCCAGCAGTCCTGCAGTAAGCAATAAAGGGAGGTATAATGGGGAGACAGGTGATACCTTCCCTGGAGGAAATTACTATCTGGAAAAATCCTCTTTCCACCGGACTCCAACATCAGCTTCAGAAAACCTTTTTTGGACTTCGTTCAAATCCTTACTTGGGGAAATTATTTGACCTGGTTCCCATCTATGTGGTTATTTTGACCTTCGCTTACTTGCTTTAGGACTAGCCTCTGGAAATTCTAGCCCACCTCTTTGGAATGATTTGCTTGTCTTGAGCCTCAGTGCGGAAAGTAAAATATTGTTACTTATTTGGTTAGCCATAATGTGCTCAGCACGGTACAATGCAGAACAAAATGGTAGGCCCTGACCCAAAAGAAAAAACAAAATCTGGAAGATAGAATGTTCACTCCAAATTGTCAGGCAAGCTGTAAAATCAAAGCAGCTCTAGTCATCATAGAACTTCCTGAGTCAGACAGAAGCTGAATTTTAAACATAAAACAATCAGAGGAGAAAAGGATACATTCGGATTTTCGGTATTCATCATAAAGCAGCATACAGGAGTACAAGCCCGGTTTATTTTCCCTTTGCAGGTAATCTGTGAAGAGCCTTCTGAAGAGAGAGAGAGAGGCTTGTTTTGTTTTTGCCTTTGGAATGACTCCAAAGGCACTGAATGGCTGGTAGTATTAGAAGAATCTAGCCCTAGATTCCCCCTTGAGGGCTTTCTTCCCTTCAATAGACTGGGAATCAGGTTTACAAGTAGGAGGTTTGTGTCGGTAACGTACTTTAAGGCCCTGATCCAGCAAACGTTTCCTCCCGTGTTTGGCTTTACACACCAGTAGCCCTACTAAAATCAATGGGGCTACGCACATGCATGAAATTAAGTGCATGGGGACGTATTTGTGGAACTGAAACCTAAATCTTCCTTTAAAAAAAAACAACAAAAAATTCCCCTTTTATTCCTCCTACTCAGCCCGCTTGTTTGATTTATTGGCCCCAATCCTGCACTACACCTACACATGTGCTGAATTTTTTTTACTACCTTTTGTCCTATTGATTTCAACTGGGGACACGGATCAGGGTCTTTGACTATAAGCAGTTTGGGCCAGAGACCTTCACTTATGGTGCACATAATGCACCTAGCACAATGAAGTGCTGAAATACTTGGCTTCCAGATGCTGCTGCAATGTAAATATTAACTAATTTTTGCCAAAATCCTTAGATTTTAAAACCAGGACAATCCCACTCCCTCCTAGGGGTGGTAGGATCAGGAGTAAAAATAAAATCTTCTGAAGAAGATTTGGAAAGAACTTTTCTTTAAATAGCTTTTATTTTCCTCTCGGCCAAAGCTGAACTAAATTGGTTTATGAAAATTCAAACAAGACTTTGATAGAAAATTATCTTCATGTACATTTCAAGGGCTCTGACTTTTAGTGTTTTAATCCCTATGCTGTTTAATGCTAATTCTGTAACACTATATAGAAGCTTTTTTTCCACTTGCACAAAGGAGGAAGGGGCTTGTTTCTTTTGTGGGTTGTTTTTTTCCTTCCCAAGTGAAAAGCGATTCTGATCAGAACAGCCACAAATCTAGCGCCAACTTACTGACATTTCCATCTAACTCTACCTGAAGGATTAGGGTTTTTTTCTGCCAGAAAGAAACCTCTCCACTTTTACAGCCCAGAATCTGAGCTGTAGATTAATTTACCATTAATTAATAGAGCAAAAAGTTTTGATTGCAACTCAACACTATTCTGGCCCTTAAACAACACAGAGAAAAACTGAATTTTCAATTGAAAGAGCAAAAGAGATTGAGACATCATTTCAGACATCAGCAATAATTGGTAAAAGAGCACTGAAATGTATTCTTCATTGACATAAGATTTCCCCCCGGTTTACCAAGATTCAATTTAAAATTTCGGACTTAATTTCTTCCCTTCTCTGCAAAACAGGTTGGTATTTTTTTCATACTTTTAAAAAAATTGCTTTATTTTTTTTAAGGGGATGTACTAAATTAAGCATTGTTTCTTTTATTTTCTGTCATGCTTCCCCAGAGGTACATCTTCTAGGTTTTAATGCAATACATTTATATTCTCCACTAGTCATTGTGTGTGTTCTCAATTAATGAATCCACAGTGACTTAGATTTAAGATCTATATAAAATTCTAGCATGATACTTGCTTCTTTTCTACAGTAAGGAATACAGCGGAACCCTTTCATAGTTAAATTAATTTTTCTCACTCCAGAACAACTTTGCTGTAAACAAGATTTATTTTTTCAATCTAATTGCAATGACACATTGAGAAGCATTGGAGAAGTGTGGAACTGTCATTCGACTTGATTATATATGGTGTTTCACTTCTTCAAACATCATTATAATTGGATTCAAGTGTAAGTAATATGTAGCTATACAGACAATGTATCTAGCTATATATATAGATAGATAGAAATAGATATAGCTATATATGTGTACTCCATTATATAAATAGATCTATAGAGCTATTTTGTTATATAGAGATGTAATGTCTATAATGTTGGAGTACAGTCATAGATGTAATATAATGCATGAATAGATATATATTTAATATAGAAGTGTGACTATTCTGTCTCTGTATAAATAGATCACTCTAATTTATACTTGAATCTGATCATACATATTTCATTCACTCACTGTGTGTATTGTGTATACACTGTAGTTTTATATAAATGGTATATAAAAAACCTTTCCCTCTGTTTAATGAATAGAAATGATAAAGTAATTAAATCAAAGCAGCTACTGTAGTCCTACTTCCTCTTTGATTAATAATATATAACAAATTATAGTAAGCATAAAATAAATTAAAATACCACACAAAATTTCTCTTTAATTTACCCAGATGCATTTCCACCCCCTTCTATATATAGTTGATTTCTGTATAGCAAGGAAGTTGTCAAGCTGTGTAAATATTTGTGCTTCCTTCACACCTGTCAAGAATGTTAAGTGATCATTGTATTACCACCCAGTACAAAGGATTAGTTAAACCAACATTTGAAGTCTTCTAACTATATAAACACACTACGGTTTATAATTCGCTCTCATTTTCTTACAATGAAAAGCTATTCATCTTAAAGCCTGCAGTAATATCCTCACATGAAGCAGATCAGCAAAGAATTGTGTTGGATTAATAGGGGGATTGAAGACACACTGGGAGCTGGGTGCTATTCATTAATTCCAACATACTGGTTCATTTCTGATTCCTGAAATCATGCTGTACATATACCCTGAGAATACCTGGAGGGCAGGTTGTTTTATCATCAGTGATTTCATTATACTAGCTATCTAGCTTGTCATTTTTGGGCTAGATCATGGGTAAGGACCTACATTTCCCAATTTTCTGCATCTCTGGAGCAATCACACAATTTCAAGGCACTATTAGCCATTAGCCTGAGATTTGCTTAGCAGATCTGGTTTTGGATTGATGATTAGTTACTTTTTTTTTCCCCCCCCCTTTTAGGATGAATTATCCGTCACTCATTAGAACCTGGGTGGCCTTTGTGTTCATGATTGTACGGCAGCAAGGTTAGTATTTCTGACTTTTGGTCCTCGGATACTGATACTCTACATTTACAATAGGAAAGCGCTTGCCTCAGAAATTTGCTACACGCAAACTTCATGTGCATAGAAAGCCTTGCAAAATTCTACTCAGATACTTGTCTGAGAGCAAGTACAGTAGCAGGGTAATTTATTTTTAAATCCTAATACCGAGGGGCGAACAAGTAGACTTTTGTGCCTTGCCTGGTAAATATACATGATCATTTTGCATCGCTGACATTTATTCACAGCGAGGGACAGATCCTCAACTCATATAAATTGTCATAGTTCCACTGAAATTAATGGAGCTAGGCCAATTTACATCTTGCCCTTTCGGTTTCAAATATGAAGTCAAAATAATCAACAGACTAAAGAGTCTCCGCACATTTCTGAGCTCTTCATGCAGAATTCAGGAGTATGGGATGATATCACAATTGTCATGAAAGCAGGACTTTAAAACATTTCTAGAGTTTGAACAGTTCGCCTGCCAGACAAACTTATGCAGAATGAAAGGCAGGTGGGTAGAAAGAGTCTGTGGAGAAGTCAAGCTACCACACAACTGTGTGCTAATTTACTTTTGTTAGAGCTCTGACTTGGTTTGTGGAGTCATCCAAACTCCAAGTCTTAGGTGTATCCTCATTGATATTCCCTGTGGTTTATACAGCTTTGAGGAAACATTTATTAAGATCATTCACTCTACAAAACTTCCATCCATGTTTTGTTTTTGTTTTTTCCTTGTGTAGTTTTGTAAAAGGCACAGGAAAATCTCCAGAAGATTTCTTGTTGCTCTCTTTTTTTTAATTTAAATTTGATTTCAAGAGGGTCAAGAACAGTGGACTGAGGCCAGTCTTGGGTAGATGGGTTTGTTTTTGTTTTTTTGTCATGCTAACTCAGCATATTCACATTACACGACTGATTTAATTTCTTTGGGGGAGATATCCTGGTCTTGGGGTTAAGGTTTAGGTCTATGTGGCTTGAGATCTTGGTACTGATGCCTGCTGTTTCCCTTGTGTGGCTACGGGCAAATAATTTAACCACTGTGCTTCAGTTTCCCCACCTGCAAAATGAGGATGATAATCTGCCTGAAGCTCAGGGCATTAAGGCTAGATTCCTTTGCTAGCCAAGCCTGTTGGGATACTTGGATAGGAGAGGCTATACGTGCAGAGTTAGACTCCAATGCTAGTGCTTAAAAAGTGATTGCTTAAAAGGTTGTGCTGAGTATCACCCTTTTTAAAAAAAAAATCTATAATTTATAGCTGTGACCTCAGATGTAATAGCCTGCTGGATACATTACAGCTGTGAAATGACTTATTTTACTACCTGGCAACAGGATATTTGCGATAGCCCTTACAAAATATGTATATAAGTGTAGTCATACATTCAGGACTCTGTCACACACCACTTAAACTCTCTCCAGCATGAAAATTAATATATATACACACACACACCTTTAAAAAAAGCCCTTTTTAGACTTTCAGTACAGGTATTTTTCTTTTGAGCTAGAAAGCTGTATCGGTTAGAACCTTCATAAAAGGGTCGGCTTCCCGTTGTCCCTATTATAAACCAGATTCTAGCGAAGGACATCTTAAAAGGTACAATAATCGAACAGCTTATACTTGCACGGAATGGGAAGAAAACCCACTGCATCTTTAAAACCCAGGCTCAGAGCAATCACCCGTCAGCTAGCAGCCTCTGAAATTGCAGGTTAGGACCTAGAAGATAAAAGAATGTCCTGAATCAACTTAAACAGAGATGAAATTGTTTTGAGTCTAGCTCTTTGGGTCAGCACTGATTGAATATAATGAGGACAGTCCATTTCTTTTCTAGCTAAGGAAATGTGTGTTCCCTCTGTGGTAGATCACCTCATAGGGCTAAATAAATGGAGAATTCTGTTATAACAGATGTCTGCGAGTGGCACAGGATTGGCTGCATAGTTCTTTCTATAGAGGCATAATCCGCGATTGTAGACCTAGCAATTAGAGCAGGTGGGAAATGGGGTTTGTTCCCTGTGGAAAAATTCACTGAGCATGCTTAGTTTTTGTCAAAATTTTCAGTGGAAAATTTCAACTTTTTCAACAAAACAATCTTTGGCTAAAAACTGTTTTTTAATTTTTTCCGTCAAAAGATGTAGGGGGAAAAGAAGCTACTTTCTGTGCAATGTTTAATTTAATGGAAAACCTGATTTCAGTGGGAAATTTTTGATTAAACTGTCCTAGCAATAGCATCTCAGGCTTTCCCCTAGTATCCTCTCATAAGCTAAGCAAGGCCAGGCCCGGTTGCTACGTGAATGGAAGAGCTCAAAGAAAAAGGCAGAGTGCTACAGGAAGGAGTGTTAATTCAGCAGATGGAAAAGGAGTACTTGTGGCACCTTAGAGACTAACCAATTTATTTGAGCATGAGCTTTCGTGAGCTACAGCTCACTTCATCGGATGTGCATCCGATGAAGTGAGCTGTAGCTCACGAAAGCTCATGCTCAAATAAATTGGTTAGTCTCTAAGGTGCCACAAGTACTCCTTTTCTTTTTGCGAATACAGACTAACACGGCTGTTACTCTGAAACCTGTCAATTCAGCAGATGTCATTATCCATCTATCTTAGGTATGTATCTGGCCCCCATTACTGTGATATCAAAGCTCCTCACAATCTTTCATGTATTTTTCCCTACACACCCCTGTGAGGCAGGGTGGTGCTGTAAACCCCATCTTACACGTGAGAAACTGAAGCCTAGAGAGGTTAAATAACTTGTCCAAGATCACAAAGGAAGTCTGGGGAGAAGCAGAGAATTAACCCTTGGTCTCCCGAGTCGCAGGCTAGCATCCTAACCACTGGACCCTCTTCCTTATTGTTCTTCCCTCTGAGATAGCACTGAACTAATGCCCCGGCTATTGTGTTAGGAGACACTGTCCTGCTGAAGATGCTAAATACGATGTAAAACAGAGGCCTTGACCGTTTAGGGGTCATGAAGGATCCTGTAGAATCCTTTCTATACAAGGGAAGTGACATCAAATCTTATGCCTGGCCAAATTCCAGTTTGGGTAGCGACGTTCCACCAATACAAAATCCCTCCTGCAGCTGCAGTTGTAGAGACTATTCTTTTCACCCCCTGTTCTAAACTCTTGCATAGTACTGGGGCATGTTATTAACCAGCTGCCATTCTCCACCCCAGAGGTGGCTGCATTTCAGTAGTGGCTGAAGTACAAAGTATGTAAAGAGCATCAGGAGGTGTGATGCTATGGGTCTGATCCTGTACCATTGCAGTCAGTGGGAACAGGACCAGTCCTTATATCATTATAATAACTATACTGTCCTCTTCCAGCTCAGTCCATGGAGATTTTGTATCCGTTCTGGCAGAATGATACGAAAACCCCCAAAGTGGATGATGGAAGCTCCTCTGAGATTAAGCTGTCCATCCCGTTCATCTTCTTTGGAATCCCATACAGGAGCATTTATGTAAGTGGAGGAGAAACTCTGTGGCAGACACTGCGTTTTTACTCGTTTCCCCCTCATTAGTAGCTGCATTTGAAGCACACTCTCCCAGTGTTCAAGACATGGAAGATTTATTAGTCCCTACCTGGCAAGTTCTTAGATTTCATGAACTGATAGGTTTTATGATTAAAAAAGTCAAAGGTGTATTTAATGGGATAATGTTCACGGGAAAGGAGTATAAAAGGCAATAAATTACCTTTGCAGGTGATTAAATGCCAAAGCTAAGGCCTTGATGTCATGAGCATTATTCCAGATGCATGACAAGAAACAAGAACATACAGAGCTGCAGGGGGGGAAAGGATTCCTTCCACCCTCTGGTGGGTGCCTGAGAAAGTTCTGGGCTGGTCCTGCTGCTTCCCATTGGCATCACAGGAAGCCAGGCATGGGAGAAGGATACCTGCCAGGCTGCGCTAAGAAAGGGTTAATCTCGCTGCATCAAAAGCGTGTTCAAGATGGGACCGATTCAGCAAAATTTGATCCCGATCTCAAATTCAGGGATTTTCCATTCAGGTATTGGGCTGAGCCCAGCCCAGGCCAACCCTGTCTGGCACAACAGCGGGATTTGAACGTGAGACCTTGGTGCACCAGCCATTCCAAGGGGGATAAAGACCCATGCTCTCCCCGTGTCAGTGATATATGCATAGCATGTGCACAATACAGTCATTTCCTGGAGGCTCGGGATAATAATCTCTGTTTTTATTTCAGGTGGCCTTTGCCAATTCCCACTTGTAGTAAAACCACTTGCTGCCATTGTCTGGTGTCCAGCATGTGGGCTGGGGTCACATGACTTACGAGGAGAGGCTGAGGGAACTGGGGTTATTTAGTCTGCAGAAGAGAAGAGCAAGGGGGGATTTGATAGCAGCCTTCCACTACCTGAAGGGGGGTTCCAAAGAGGATGGAGCTCGGCTGTGCTCAGTGGTGGCAGATGACAGAACAAGGAGCAATGGTCTCAAGTTGCTGTGGGAGAGGTCTAGGTTGGATATTAGGCAACACTATTTCACTAGGAGGGTGGTGAAGCACTGGAATGGGTTATCAAGGGAGGTGGTGGAATCTCCTTCCTTGGAGGTTTTTAAGGCCCGGCTTGACAAAGCCCTGGCTGGGATGATTTAGTTGGGGATTGGTCCTGCTTTGAGCAGGGGGTGGGACTAGATGACCTCCTGAGGTCCCTTTCAACCCTGATATTCTATGATTCTGTGGTTCTCTGACACCAGTGTCCCCAGTGTAGTGCTGAAGACCTGGCACTGACGGGTTTGTGCTTAACATAACAGATATTGAGCTCCCTGCAAGTGTTTGGGTCAAATGAGTCCAGTACCGAGGACTCAGCAGCACTGCTTGCTAAGGATTTGATTTACCTGAATGCACCCAGTGACCTGGGGCCAGTTACGTTGGGCACAAAATCTCCTTGGTAAATAATTCTCCTATGATGTGGATCCAGAGAGGCTCATCTCAAAGAATTGTTGCAGCTAAATAACCTTCACAGTTTGATCTATGTGGGGTTGTACCCTCTGCAGTTCCTGATCTCTGTCTTCCTAGCCCCAGCTTAAGATCTTCCATAGCGCAGGCCTTGCTCGCTTGAGCAATGAGAGACCTATAAGTACCTAGATGGATAGGCCTATTTCCATCACATAATTGCATAAACCAGCCTTCACCAAAATCGCCATCAGCACAGGAATAATTTTAAGATGACAGTTCTCCGCTTGCAGCCAAGGCTTTGGTTGGCTTAAATCAAACCGTTCTCCTCTTTTTCTAGGTCAACAACAATGGCGTGATTTCTTTCAATGTGCAAGTCAGCCAGTTCACCCCAGAGCCTTTCCCCCTTGCAGATGGCCGGGCCTTTATTGCTCCATTTTGGGCAGACGTTCACAATGGAATCCGAGGAGAAATCTACTACAGGGAGACCATGGACCCCGCCCTGCTGAAGAAAGTCTCCAAAGACATCAGGAAGTACTTCAAAAACTTGCCCTCTTTCTCAGCCATCTGGCTCTTTGTCGTCACCTGGGAAGAGGTCACGTTCTACGGAGGCAGCAGCACGACCCCTGTAAGGGCAAACGTTTCAATCTCTTCGCTTGTGTGATGATATTAGAAAGGTGTTGTTTTCTGAAGCAGGAATAGCGGCTGTCAGGTCTACACGCTATAGACCTTAGCGTAGTGATGTCGGTCTGGAGTTTGAAGGGGTGTGATCCTGACCGACAGAGCAGTGCCATCAGAAACCCCTAGTGGAGGTGCAGTTATGCTGTATAACGTCTATCAGCACAGCTTCTTTCTCTTGGCGGGAGTGGTTTCACTATACTGATAATAAAACCTGTCCACACCAGGCATGCTATGCTGGGGTGGTAAACAGGCATTCCTACACTGGTAAAGCATTCCTCTTGTAGACATGGCCTGAGTTAATGGGCAGATGGATGAAGTAGGACTCAAGAGACCTGGGTTCAATTCCCAGCTCTGCCACTGACTTCCTGGGTGACCTTGGGCAAGTCGCTTAATCTCTCTGGCCCTCAGGTCCCCACTGGTAAAATTAGGATAATAATCCTTCCTTTCTCCCACCCTTAGTCTGTCTTGTCTAGTTATGTTGTGAACTCATCAAAGGAAAGATTAATTGTCTCTTAGCATGTGTTTGTACAGCAGCTAGCTCAGTGGGGCTCCAGTCTCTTTTGAGGACTTTATTCATATTACAGTAACAGCTAATTATAATTACATACTGATTAGATATGAGAGTGGAGTCTATTTTCTTATCCATGCCTTGCTGTGTGGCCTTGATCAAGTCCCTTCAGCTTCTCTGTACCTCAGTTTCCCCATCTGTAAAATGGAAATCATACTTAACTGCTTTGCAAGGCGCGTCAGAGGTTGGATTCTGCACACTTTATAAAGAAGGGCCAAATATTTATTAATTGAACACTGATTCAGGGCTTTTTCTTTAAATAGGGACAGGATACATTTGTTCCCTTTGGGGGGCTGTGAAACTCTCAGAGGTTGCAAACCTCTAATCCCCTGTCCTTTAGTTTTTCCAATTTCAAGACAAGTTTTTCTAGTTGTAGGTGTGGGGTATTTGAAAACTGCATTGGAATTGTTGGCTGTCACTTTCATTTGTAAGTGTTTTCCTGAACTGCTTTCAGGCTAGGGAGCTCCGTAGGGAAGCCTGCGATCAGAGTCAGTCAGCAGACAGACGGCTTAGAACAAGGTGGGGTGAATTGTGGTTCCTTGTATAAGGGAGCAGCCTGCTTTGTCTCTTGCTGGTTTTGGGTTGTTTTGTGTTAGGGTTCTGGAGTCTAAGAAATAAAATAGCATTACTCTGCAACCTTCTAGGCACAGTATATATGTTTTTATCTTTGTGTGTGTGCCATGAACATAACAGTAGTATTCAGTCCTGTGTTCTGTATAGATCCACCTCCCAACAGCTGCCCTGGCACAAACAAGAGCCCTGCACAGTATCTTGAATGTGAATGTTTGTGTCAGGTGAGCCTACAGATGTTTTTATTACAGTAGTGTCCCCGTAGTGGCAGGCACTGTACAGGCATTTAGTATAGGCCCTGCCCCAAAGAATTTACAGGTTTATATCCTGCTTCCGAGATGTGATCTGCATGGGTGGGCCCCCTTTGACTTCACTGGGGCTCTGAGTAGGAGGAAAAGTCTGTGTGCATGGAGAGCATTGCAGGATCAAGCTATAGGGTTGTAAATTCTTTGGTAATTTTACTCAATGACTATACAGCACCTAGCACAGTGGATCCTCTAGGGTAAGTAAAAGACAGTACAACGGGGGGGCGAAAGAAACAAATGGCTTGTGAGGGCAGGAAGGATGGGAGACTTGAGCTTTTCATTCTAATTTTTTCTCCCACTCACTGCCATTGTCCATCTTATTTTTCCCCTCACTGGATTCTGTAATCTCTCTCCCCCCACCCCCCGGCTTCTCCCCCACCCACGTCCACCCTGAGTTAAAAGTGAGCCAAATAATTTTTCAGCTAGAATCAAACGTCCAAGGCCACATTGGGTTCAAAATTAGGCAAAGCAAGTTCTCTTCTCCCTAACGGGCTCCAGAAGTGAAGCTGCTTCTTAAGAAAACTCTCATATCCAGGAAGCCACAATAAATTAATCTTTGGCTGAAATCTGCTCTCTTAAAAACCTGTGACTGGGGACAGAAAATGGGGACCTTTTTGGGGCCACAAAGGACTTATGGGTTTTTATTGTGGCTATGGCTGGATTTATTTCTATGCCATGTTAATCAGAGCGAGCAGTCAGGACGTTTCAGGAGAACAAGTCGAACAGCTGCTTTGAAATCCCAAATAAATGTAGGAAATCAAAAAGATGGGGGATAGCTCGGTGGTTTGAGCGTTGGCGTGCTAAACCCAGGGTTGTGAGTTCAATCCTTCAGGGGGCCATTTAGGGATCTGGGGCAAAAAATTGGGGATTGGTCCTGCTTTGAGCAGGGGGTTGGACTAGATGACCTCCTGAGGTCCCTTCCAACCCTGATATTCTATGATTATTGGCAGCATTATCACAATGACAATCAGTGCAGTAAAAGATGTATCATAATTGGTCATAAAACCCTGCCAGTGATTTGGCTGGATTAGCTGCTCTTTAATTCCATGAACAAAAAGAGTCTGATCTCTTAAGAAGTCAGCTATGACAAAGAACCCTGTTCCTTTCCATTTGTTCGGGTTGTTTGAAATTTAATGCATTTTTCCAATCTCATTGACACACAGTTCCAAAGTGTTTTGAGCCAGAAGCAGTACTGAGATCCCTGTACTGCTGGGAAAATTGCACACAATGCAATTTATTTTGGTATATAGCATCCTTCCTGTACAATATCAGAGAATGCGTTTGATTTACCTGTAAAATAGAATATGCAACTTTTGAAGGTGAAATTCACCCCAATGCAGAAAACCTGTGCAAAACCTTCTTAGTGCCTGGTTTGAAGAGTGACTCAGTAAAAATGGCATCAGGGATTAGAGACATGCCAAAATTTTCAGCTGAAAACTTTTTCGGCCAAAAATGCAGACTGGGAGGCACTGACACGCTTTGAGAATTTGTGTTCATTTTGCCGAATTATTTTGGTCAACACCTGTCTTCTGCCCCCCACCTCCACCCCACAATTGAATTGTTTCCTTTCAACATTTTCTAAATGAAACCTTTTGATTTTGGTTCTGAATGATGTTATATTTCGAAATTTTGTTCCATTTTGTTAAAAAAAAAAAGTTTGAAAATATTGCAGTCAAAACATTTTTGTTCCCTTTCAATGCAACTGTTTTGTTCAAGCCAAAAATGATTCCTTCCTCCCCCCCGCCCCCATTTTTTGATTCATGAAAAATTTTGAAAAATCGTGGTTTCAGATTGAACTGAAATAAAAAATTGGGGGCGGGGGGGGCGGCTGGAGGGGATTTTCAGGATTGCCAGTGAATCGAAAAACCAGTTTTTCACCCAACTTTATCTGGAATTTCATGTTTATTGTGATTCTGGATCAAATATCCTCAACTGACAAGAGGTTTCTCCTGCCAGTTAGTGCTGCAAACTTCAGTCCTGAGATTCAAACGGGGAACTTTCTGTCTGGGTACATCATTTCCGATGATAAGGGTTCTTCTGGCCACACTGGACCTCAGCGACGTCTGTGTGCCCTCATCTTCAGTGGGTTTGCACAGGTTTAACTGACTAGAACTTTAGTTTGATTATTTTAGTAATAGCATGGCAGTGCCTGGAGGCCTCAGCCAAAATCAGGGCCCCATGTGCTAGGCGCTGTACATACCACTAGTAAGAGCCAGCCTCTGCATCAGAGTTTATAATCTATATAGACAGGACAGACAAGGGGTAGGAGAAAGGAAGGATTGTTAATCCCCACTTGCCAGAAGCGGGAAGTTCTGCAGCGATTTGCTGAAGGTCACATAGGGAGTCTGCGACACAGCTGGGAATTGGATCCAGATCTTTTGAGTCACAGGCCGCAGGAGCAGCCCTCCTCATCTGTGTAGAATGTATGAAATGAATGGGGCCCAGCTCACGCTCTCTTAGCTCTGCTGGCTTTGCAGGGGTGGACTCCTGCAGCCCTCAGAACCCCATTGACGTGAGTGGAGCGGCACACAGGTGCACCCTTCACCCTCTCTGATCAGCTGTCAAGGTCGGAGCTTCATTTTTGTCTCTAAAGCCAGCAGATCTGGCTCTGAATTCTCACAGGGAGCCAAGCCTGAATCACGGAAATGTAGAGCTTGAACAGACCTCGAGGGGTCAGCTAGTTCAACCCCCCGGCAGGACCAAGTAAACCTAGAACACCCCGACAAGTATTTGTCTAACCTGTTCTTAAAATGATGGGGATTCCACAACCTCCCTAGGGAACCTGATCCAGTGCTTAACTATCCTTATAGGTAGAATTTTTTTCCTACTATCTAACATAAATCTCCCTTGCTGCAGATTATGCCGATTACGTGTTGCCCTACTTCCAGTAGGCATGGAGAAAAATTGATCCCCCTTCATAGCAGCCCTTGTGATATTTGAAGACTATCAAACCCCCCCCCCCCCAAGTCGTCTTTTCTCAAGACTGAACAGGCCCATCTTTCTTAACCTTTCCTCATAAGTCAGGTTTTCTAAAGCTTTGATTGTTTTTGTTGCGCTCCTTTGGATTCCCTCCAATTTGTCTACGTCTGTCTTAAAGGGTGACACCCACAAGAAGACACAGTACGCCAGCAGAGGCCTCACCAAGGCCAAGTAGAGCACGACAATGACCTCCCACAAATCATTGATATCAATTGGAACGTTAACACTGATTTCCCTGGAGGCACAATTGGACCCAGTGGGAGTAAACTGGTTGGGTAAAAAGGTGCTATTTTTATGTAAACCCTTTTAAGGCAGACCTACACCTTAAGGTCCTGATCTAGTGTCCTCTGATGTCAATGGGATCTTTTCATTGACTTCAGTGGGCTTTGGATCATGCCTGCTCACGACTCACTGGGGTGAATATCACTTTTATGGAGCTGGCTGCACTTAATGGAAAATCACACCCTGAGAGGAAGATTTTTTTCCCCCATCATGTTCTGCATTCCTACAGGCACTGCAGGCTATAGATTTTATGCCTTTTAAGTTTCATACCTTGCAGTGTTGGAAATTGAGTTGGCAAAGACCAGGAAATATACTGGCTGGGTTAAAAAAAATTGACTGTCAGTATATAAAAAAAAAAAAAATCAGTAAAAATGTCAGTTGAAGTTAGAAAAGGGTTTCTTTCCCACTCTGGAGTGGGTTTTCAGATTTATTGGGCATGCTTTATCCCTGATCTAATGCCATTAAAGACAGTAGCTTGACCTTCTCCATCACATGAAACACAAAGTGCTTGTCTTCAGCGCCATTCCAGGCGTATCCCCTGCCTACCTGTCATCTCTCATTCACTATCAGTGTCGACTCCCACCGCCGATTGGCCAATGGTGCCAGCCTCCATCATACACTTGTTAAATTTTCATGCAGTCGCCCATTCTGCCCTTCCCGGCTGGGAGGAGCTCTCCATTCACATCTGCAAAGCTGCCTCGTTATCCTTCTTCAAACTCTCCGTTGTTGTGATGCCTATGAAACTCATGACAGTGGTTAGGCCACTGGTGTTCTGATCCCACAGCCTATCATGCTGACCAGTGCTGTCTCACTGTTTCCTTGTACTCCTCCATCGGCCTGTCTGCAACCATCTGTTGCCTCTTGTCTTATAATTAGACTTTAAACTCTTTGGGGCAGAAACCACCTTTGGGTTCTCTCCTTGTACAGTGCCTAGCATGGTGGGGTCCTGGTCTATTACTGGGGCTGCTGGAAGCTACTACTACACAAATAATAATAACAATAATTAATAATAAACCAGAATGAATGTGGGCCTCTGGCTTCTTTTTAAAATGATGGTCTAAACAATGGATTCACTTTAAACAAAAAATAAAAATGGCATGAATTGACTATCAGAAGTCTCTACAAAACCAATATCACTTTGACATGCTCCCTTTTACAGTGAGCCAGATCCTCTGCTTGTGTAAACTGGCATAGCTACCTAGATTTCAGTGGACCTCTATCAGCTCACATCGGTTGAGGCTCTGGTTCTGGATGACTCAGTCTGTTTTCATGAGTCATCTGGACTTTTTAACATTACATGATGATATGGTGCAATACTTTAGCCACTTTTCATGCAAAGATCTCAAATCACTTTTCCAGACCTTGGTTAATTAGACGCACAGAATCCCTGTAAAATAAGTGAGGGAACATACATGGTCGCCTTCCTCTGTAGCATGGGGCACGGGTCACTTGCTGGAGGATTCTCTGCTCCTTGAGGTCTTCAAACTACAATTTGAGGACTTCAATAGCACAGATATAGGTGTGAGGTCTTTTTTAGGAGTGGTGGGTGAAATTCTGTGGCCTGCATTGTGCAGGAGGTCAGACTAGATGATCATAATGGTCCCTTCTGGCCTAAATATCTATGAATCTATGAATCTATGAATTTCACTCACCACTGAAATGCAGCCAACTCTTGGGAGGAAAGCATGACTGTTAATCAGCATAGAGTTACCAAAGTAGAATGGTTTAGGACAGGAAGTGAAGGATACCATATCCAATTGGAAATGCAGGTGGAATTTAGATGGGTAAGGTTGAATTACTTCAGGTGGAATTTGCCAGTGGGCTCTTAGGGGCAGATGTTGCATCCCTGGAAATCCAGTTGCACGATTAGCTCATGTGGACCCAGGTAGGATAGGGTTTTATGGACAATGCTCTGGGATTCTATGGTCAAGAGCTCATTTTATGTCCTCTTTAGAAGATGACAACGTACCTCCTAGTATGGGGTGCTGGCTTGTTGCTGAATGAATTTATCTGAAGTATTTATAGTTAAAAAATGAAGAATTGTTTAAAAACAATGTGAAAGTTGTCAATAAATTTTTGCAGATTGGTCTGGGATTCCTGCAGCTTGAGAAAGCAAGATTTCCTTGGGTACAATACACTTTGACTGTTATAGAAGCCATTGTTAATATTATTATAGCATCCAAATGGGGAAAGTAACCCAGTAAGATAACATTGTGATGAATAAAGCTGAGATAGAAGAATGCTAAGATAACAGGTTGTAGCAATCCAAGCCCAGCTGATTGCTTTCTCAGTGCTTGTTCTCATGCTGCCATCTATCGGTGCTAAAATAGATCACGGATTTAATCTGTCTCCCATGGTGTCCCAGATGGAATCATGCTCTGGAAAGCTATGGATGCAGTTAAGGGGGATTGAATCAGCTGTTGGATAGCATCCTACACCATGCTTAACTTTTGCTGTTTAATTATTAATCTTCCCTATTGCATTTCGTATGGGATTGATGCAGAAGAAGGCAGCGCAGAAAAATGGCGCAAAAGATGCGGGAGGGGCAATCTCACTTTGTGAATTTGCCTGTCTCTGTTTTAAACAGGTGAACACCTTTCAAGCTCTCCTAATTTCAGATGGGGTGTCCACATTTGCAATGTTTAATTATGAAGAAATCCTGTGGACCACTGGAACAGCAAGTGGGGGAGATCCTTTAACTGGACTCGGTGGAGTGATGGCCCAGGTAAGGCTCCTGCTGTGCATCTTCACAATCATCTTTGTTTATGCTCTAACCTCCAACCTGTCCTTGTTCTGACAGTGTCAGCAGAGAAATATGATCTAGTGAAGTCGTGACCCGCCTTAACACAGCATGGCTTTTGTCTTCTAGTGGCTAGACCAGGTCGTGTAGCTTAAACACACGAGGTTCATGCTTTTAGACCCAGAAAGCTCAGGTTCACTCTCCAGAGATGATCCGTCCGGGGTCTGTAGATCATTTGGTTCACAGGGCACTTGCTGGTGAACGGAGGAGACCTGGCAGGTCACGTGGTGCTGGTTTTCTTTCTTCTTCCCAGACTGAAGGGGAAAGAGAAGGGATATGAAATGAAGAGCAGAAGGAAACTGTGTGTTTTACTCCTTTTGATAAAAGTTAAACACCTAACATTGTAAAGGTAGCTAAAAATACATGAAATGAAGAGCTGGCTGAAAAGAAACATTTTTTTTAATTAAAAAAACCTCTCATCCATTCATCTCCATCCATCTACTCGCATGCCCTTTTCCTTTCCATTTTCTTTCCTTCCTTCCTTCCTTCCAAAAATTGTTTGGCTTTGCATTTAAAATCAAAAAGAAAAAGTAAGTTTGTTTTGTTTCTGAAAATTGAAAACAACAGGATTTTTACCGAAAATGTTTGTTTTTGAAAAAACAAAACAAAAAATAATTTTCAATTTTTGTGTCAAAAACAAGCAGACAAATAAAACAACCACGAACGAAAGATTTCCTTTTGGCCAAATAGCCTTTTTTGTATTTAAAATACGGTAATAATAAAAAAAAGTTTAGGTTAAAAAAATATGAATCGGTTCCAATTAGTTTCCCAGTGTGACTTTTCTATGTACAGAGTTGCTGTAGCCGCCACTGGGATCTTATGTGATCACAGTTGAGAGGGGAGGTGAACACAAGATAATCAACAGCAAAATTTACAGACAAATCGGGGTTATTAACATCAGTGATGGCAAGAAATATGAGACAGAACAGACTTAAGGGAAGGGTGGTCTCTGTGTTTTCAGGTGAATTTTGCTCTTTCTGTGTTCCAGGCAGGATTCAACGGTGGAAACAGCACCAATTATTTTAGCATTCCTGGGTCCAGAACCCCAGAGATAATCAATGTTGAAGATACAACCAATGTAAATGTCCCTGGACGCTGGGTATTCAAAATAGATGGGAGAGAAATTGACCCAGCCAATGGCTGCAGCCTGAGAGGTAAAAATTGGTTCTTTCATGTCTTTGAAATTTACCATATAACACAAGACAACCCAGTTTGAAAGTTAATGACCAAATATGCTGCTGCTGTTGCTTTGCTATGGTATTGCCCGTATTCTTTGCAACTTGTGTAAGGGTAGATTGTAAACGCTCTGGGATAGAGGCTGCCTCTTTGGAAGGCAGAATGGCCTAGTGGTTGGTGGGGGGGACTGAGAGTCAGAAGACTTCGCTTCTCGACCCTGCAGAGGTCACTACATTTCCTAATGATGGTCGCCTGATGCCAGGGATGAAATCCTGACCCTGTTGTGGTCAATGGAAGTTTTGCGAGTAGGGCCAAGACTTCATCCCTGGGTAGCAAACCCTTAGTGGTGTAGATTGGGTAAGCCACGATAAGCTGCAATTTGCACTGGGGCAACTTAGTTTGGTTTCAAGCAGGGCTAGTCCAAATAGCGGCTTTCCCTGTCTCCACTAGAGGTTTGCACTGCGGCAGCTAAACCAGTGGCTGCATTTGGCACCAGTGACTGTAATTAGGACGATTTGCTAGCATGGAGAAAGCCTAACTTCACGGCATTTTAAAAGGGGCGAATGGGCCCACAAAGAGCGGGGAGTCTGTTCTTTTGTCTCGCATATGGCTGTGTAACTCATTAATGTCAATGGGAAGCTATAATATACGCTGGCCTTGTTCCTGTCCTTCTGTGATGTTAGTATCCGGCTGTAATTAAAAGCCTACATTTCCCCCACCTCAAAGTTAGAAACCTGTGAAACTAGGGGTTTAAATTCTCAGTAAGGATTGAGATCCCTGTACTTTCGGCTTTGCAGATAAGCTAGAGTAACAACAGCAAAAGAGACGCTTCTGGCTGGCCTGATGGAAATGCCATCGGTGTGAAAAGACAATACTCTGATTTCCTTTCCCTTACTTCTGAATTATGGATTGCCGCTTCTATGCATAGGATAAATTCAATGGCCCTGCACAACCTGCTGGGTATGTCAGTGTGCCATTGACTGTCCATAGGTATAAAGTAACAGAAGCACTCATTGTGATACCAGGGGGACTTGGTGGCATGAAGATTATTGCATTATCGTTTTACAAATAAAACTGTCTCGAGTGTCTCCTTCGCTCCTGAAATCTTGGTAACAGGAGAGAATTTTCACTTTCTGCTGGAAGCCTGAAATGTCGAGGATTGAAAATGTATACTGGTCTGAGATCTGCAGTTTGTTTATATGCAGCCCTCGACTAGTGCTGATATAGCTCTGCTAGTCCAAAGGGCCTGCGTAGCCCCTAAAAAAGTTCAAGGTCTGATGTACTGCAGGGATGGTGTCCCTAGCCTCTGTTTGCTGGAAGCTGGGAATGGGCAACAGGGGATGGATCACATGATGATTACCTGTTCTGTTCATTCCCTCTGGGGCACCTGGCATTGGCCGCTGTCGGAAGACAGGATACTGGGCTAGATGGACCATTGGTCTGACCCAGTACGACCATTCTTATGTTCTAAGCTTGACCCACCAATGCTCAGAGTGAAGGCTGAAATTTTCAAAGGGACTTAGACACACAATTCCGTCTTCAGGTTAATGAAAGCAGTGCATCTAAATCCCTTAGATGAATATGGAAATCACAGCTGACAGCTCAATGCCATTTGTAAGAGAAGAATCTCAGCTTTTCAGTGGTAGGAAGTGGGTCTGAGCAGGTTTGTTTTGCCTAATTTGGAACCCACTTGAATATCGTGGGCTTGAAAGGTTGGCTCCAAAGCAAACATAATTGGGGTCTCATTATGTTTAGGAGAGATTTTTGTGGTGGAAAGAAAAAAAGAAAAAGAACAGAGAACATGAGAGAGAGGAAAATCCAGGGGAGAGATGAGCAGAGGGTGGGCAGAGTGAAAAACAAATACAGAGAGGATGTGAAGAGGGAGCAGATGGAATAGAGACTCTAAATTGGCGGGGGAAGACCCTTGTTTTTGCCAGTCTGAATTCTTAGATCTTCCTCCCTCCTTTCAGGTCTCCATTCAGCTAGAAAAACATAAAATAGACTTCCCAATAAAGTGTAGTTACACTGCTGTTATGCTGTTTGATAATTAATAATTGCTAATTCATATAACCCAAGGCCAACTATGTTATGGAATTACTTATCAATATGACTTTGATTTTATAGTTAGTACATGTATTTTTAGAATTCAGGTACATTGACGATGTTGTGTTTGTTCCATAATTACTCTGTCACCTTCCAGTTGTGTGAAATTAGTAACGACAGCTATCAAAAGAGTTAATTATAGTGTAATTACAGAATAATTACCATGGATTCACAGTCACTCTTATAAAGGGTAACTAAAACAGGTTGACTGACTATATTGCAATATATTAAGCACCCATGACTTCAAATTCCAGGGAGAAAAGGTTCATGAACCCAAACTAGTTCTGTGCACTCCCCCCCTCCCCAAAATAGTTTGAGCAGTTCTCAAAACTAGAAAATCTACTAGAAAATCTTAAAATTAAAGTTAAGCATGTGTTTCCAGTGCTTTGCTGAATTGGGCTGTGACATGTTATAATGCTAGAGGGCGGTGTGATGTTATTTGCCATATCACATGGGACGCCCTGTTAGAAAGGTACTGAGCTGGTGGTCCTGCTTTCAAGGCCCGTAAACTTTCCCAAGTGTTGGACCCGGATCGGAAAGAACAAATGACTTGGAACTCTTGATTGTTCTTCTAAGTCGTGTCACGGGTCCTGTGTTCTGACAAGTAACGCAATGTGGGGTTCTTTTAGGGCAGTTTCTCCATCCAGGCGAGATATTCTGGGACAACGCCAACTGCTCCACCAAGTGTCGTTGCCTGGACTTTAACAATGAGATCTTCTGCCAGGAGATGGTTTGCGGCCCCTACGAAGCGTGTGAGCAGAAGGACAAGTTCTACCAATGCGTGCCGGTGGAGAGCAGCACCTGCGTGGTGTTTGGAGACCCACACTACCACACCTTCGATGGCTTCCTCTTTCACTTCCAGGGTTCCTGCGCCTACCTCCTTACCCGGCAGTGCTGGCCAGAATCTAACCTGCCCTTCTTCAGCGTGGAGGCCAAGAATGAGAACCGAGGTGGCTCCTCCGTCTCCTGGTTGAAGGATATCTCAGTGGAGGTTTATTCTCACAAGATCGTTATCCCCAAAGGGAGCTTTGGGAAAGTTAAGGTAAGAGCCCCAGCAAAGAAGGAAAACTCCTTCGGTCAGATCCTTGGCTGGTGCAAAGCGGTTTAGCTCTGTTGAAAGTCAGTGGGTCTATGATGATTTGTAGCAGCTCAGGATCTGGACCAGTGTCTTTGTCTGGAATCCAGGCCTTGTAGGACTCCTCGGGGAGGTGGTGGGGAGGGGGAGTGTTAGTGTAGGTAGTGCTGAAAACTGGAAAGGCCCAAACCAGACCCTTAAAATCCAACCCTCTCTCCAAATGTTGTTGGGGCTGGATTGCAATCACTGGTTCCCAATTCACCATCTTGCTCAGATTCCAACATTGGAAGGGGCCCATTTCCCAGGATCCAGTTCAGCTGCTGCAGTGGAAATCTGGCAGAACCACCCCTTGGGCTCCTAACCGCGTGGAAACCCGGCCATTTTGCCTGATTTTACTCTTTTGCTTTGCTCCTGCAGGTAGATGATTTGGTGACCTCCTTACCCCTCTCCTTGGAACTGGGAGCCATAAAAATCTACCAGAGCGGTTTGTCAACCGCGGTGGAGACTGATTTTGGCATCTTGGTGACCTACGACGGGCAACACTATGCCTCCATCTCTGTCCCGGGCACCTACATCAACGCCACCTGTGGGCTGTGTGGGAACTACAACAAGGATCCTCAAGACGATACCCTTCGCTCGGACGGGAGGCCGGCATCGTCAGTGCTGGACCTGGGGGAGAGCTGGCGAGTGTACCATCCGGAGTGGAAATGCTCCCCAGGCTGCTTAGACAACTGCAGCTTCTGCGACACTGCCATGGAGTCTCTCTACTTCACCCCCGAGTATTGTGGCTTCATCAACCAGACCGGCGGCCCCTTGTGGGAATGTGGCACCATTGTGGACCCCACGGCCTTCGTCCACAGCTGCGTGTATGACCTGTGCAGCATCCGAGACAACGGCACCGGCCTCTGCCAGGCGATCCAGGCTTACGCCTTGGTGTGCCAAGCTCTGGGCATTCCAGTGGGAGACTGGCGAACCCAGACAGGATGTGGTAAGTCTGCACATACTCCGGCTGAACGGCCGCCCTGAGGAGGCGGGAGGTGGTTTCGGGGGCCTGCAGCAGACTCCCGTTGAAGTGAAAACCCTGCCTGAGATAAGCCCAGAGACGAGCCGGCGGGGACTTGATTGAGGCAGCCAGCGTTACGGTGAAAGTCGAGCAGTCCCTCCTTTCAATCCTGAAATGCAACACGAGAAGGACAAGGGCATGCCTAGTAACTAAAGGGCAGTTAGTGTTTTGAACAAATAGAAGGAAATTTGAGCGCCCTATGGAACTCAATGCTGGTGTGCCAGGTATTGTAGCTGGACTCAAGACAGGACTGGCTCATTTAATGGCCATTGCCATCAGCTGAGATGCTAAATCTAAATCTCTCCACCTGCTTTCTCTTTTTGCGCCACTTTTGTGCAGAGGGAACTCAGCTGACGTCAGCAGGGTTACTCCTGATTCATACCAGTGCGAGTGAGAGGAGAACGGGGCCCCGCGTCCCATAGTGCAGGGTGTAAGCTGACCCCCTCTGTGAGGTGTCAGGAAAGGACTTTTCCTTGTGTGTGCGGTGCTATCTGACTCTCTGAGTGCAATCGGGGAGGGGGGGGGGGGGATATCACCTCAGTGATTTAGAGACGAAGGGGGTGTAATGGAGGCCTTTCGCCTACCTCTCTCTGAACCATCAGCCACTGCCAGGAGACGGGATGCTAAATCTGACGCACCCAGTGTGCAGTGGCGACACCTGTGTCCCAGTTCGGAATGGCAGAAGTGGAATGGTTGCCTTTTTCCAGGCTACCCTCCGCCACAAATGTAACTGGTTAAAGCAAGTGGCTAAATTACCTCTGCCAGCCATCGTATGTAGCGGTGTCAACCACAGAGCAGTAAGGGGATAATAATACTTATTAATAATGGCAATCTAATCGCATCTCTCTACCCAGGGATTCATGCCAGGCTCATTACTCTGGCATCAGAGTGCTGAATGGTAAGAGGGACAAGGTGGGCGAGGTCGTGTCGGTTCTGGGGCCAACTTCTGTTGCTGAAAGAGGCAAGCTTTCGAGCTACACAGCGCTCTTGTTCAGCCTCGAAGCTCAAGAGCTTGCCTCTTTCACCTACAGAAAAAGTTATGACCTCACCCACGTGGTCTCTCTAACAGCCTGCGACCAACACGGCTACAACACAGCAAACGATACTGCCTTATGATAAATTAGAAAGCAATAAGAGATAGATGATAACGAGAGAGAAATCCATAGAGTAGGTCAGCGGTAATATTGAATACTAATGTCTCTTTTTCTATTTATCATCACCATACTTACAATCTGTCTGTTGATCATTGTCTTACATAGATAGGTAGACAGACGGACACATTATCTCACTTATCATTGTGGCATATGACTGCCTAATCATAATAATAATCCAAAGAGTAATAAGGGAATAGTAATAATTCATATAAAATTGGACAGCAGTCAGAGTTAGGAGGGAATCTAAATGAATGTAACTACCACCACCGGAATGGTGTCTGGGTCTATGAAATTCTCTGGGAGATTTTATGTCTCAGCCCATAGTCCCATCCCTGATTTCCTCTAATCTCTTTCCGTTCTCTCCCCTCTCTGATTTCTTGTTTCCTCCTCCTGCCCTCCCTTCATCTCTTATTCTCACAATTTTCACAAGTAGAAAATTCGTGGGGGAACATAGATGAGGAGCTGTGTTGGGAACTGTGGGAGAGAAACCCACAGTGCTGTGAGATTGCGATGGGACGGGGAATGCTGTGGGTGTGAACCGGAAAAAGGACGGTTAGTGTGGGTGCTGAGAGGGCCCCATTCTGATCTCTCAGGTGTGTGAATTAGGAGCACTTTCTCTGAAATCAGGGTTAGGTGACAGCAGAAATTTTGGGCCAGATCCTCACTTGGTGTAAAGTGGCCCGTACGCTTTGGTGCAGCTCTGCTGATTTACCGCAGCAGAGGATCTGGCCCGCAGTTGAAAACAGCTCGGCCCCGAATAACACGAGTAGCCTTTTAACAGCCTCTTCTCAACCTTCCCTCTCCTAGCTGCAGCTGTCCAGTGTCCAGAGTTCAGTCACTACTCGGTTTGCACCAACAGCTGCCCAGCTACATGTTCGGATCTAACAGCTCCGCTGGCCTGCAGCTCCCCTTGCACTGAGGGCTGTGAATGCAACGAAGGCCATGTCCTCAGCACGGACCAGTGTGTCCCCATCCACAAGTGTGGCTGCGATGTCGACGGCAGGTACTATGCCGTAGGGGAGTCTTTCTGGGCCACCGCGGGCTGCACGGTGCAGTGCCGGTGCGAGGACGGTGCAGAGATCAGCTGCTTGAACGCCACCTGCCGGGAAGGAGAGGTGTGCGCGGTAGAGAACGGCTACCGGGGCTGTTACCCCAAGCGAGAGAGCTTGTGCTTGGTGAGCCAGAACCAGGTGCTGCAGTCCTTTGACGGGGTGTCATTCATGTTCCCCCCGGAGCATTCCTACACCCTGCTCAAAACCTGCTCTGAGAGACCACACTTCCTGGAGGTTGACATCAGCAAAAAGAAACCCGAATCCAAACCTAACTGGCTCCGACCCCTGAGAATCCAGGTAGCTGGCCAGGAGGTCAAAGTTGGAGGTTCCAGCACATCTGAAATCAAGGTAAGAATCCTATCAAGGGACAGTCTTCAATTGCGGGAAGCGAGGGAGGAGTCTCTCTCTGCTGCTCACAGAGAGCAAGAGAGCTTTGTGCTTCCATGGCACATTGCATCTGAGAATCGCCGAACTCTTTACACATGTGATTCAAAAAAGTCTTGTGATTTGTCACCACCTCCACTGTGGAGGGTAACCGTGAGCGCTGTGGTGCCCCCATCCCCTGGAGGTTTGGTAGCATGCCGGATGTACCAGAAGCAAGCTCTGTAGGCATCCCAAGCACAAAGCCCTTTAGGCTGTAGCTGTCATTAGGTGCCCACAGAAACTCCCAGGGTCTGAGGAATACCAAAGGGCTGCTTTGCTGGGGCCACTAGAAACAAATGTTGCCGTTACCCTAAGCAGGATGGCTTGATGATACAAGCTAATCTCCCTAAGAAAGAGATGGTATTTATCCCCATTTTACAGAGGGGTAAACTGAGGCAGAGTGGCACAGCTGGGATTAGAGTCCAGCAGCCCTGACTCTTCCCACTAGACAACACTGCCATCACCAAAACATGCTGGTGGACATTTAGGTTGAGATTTTCAAAAGAGCTGCCCCCAAATCCCATCCTTAACCTTTGTCATCTCCGAAGACCCTGAGGGTTATGTCTATGCTGCAGTAAAACTCCGTGGCTGCACTGCGTCAGCTCATTCAGGCTGTGGGGCTATAAAATTGCTATGTAGATGTTTGGGCTCAAGCTGGAGTCCAGGCTCTGTGAGTGGGGAGGGTCCTAAAGCCCAGGCTCCGGCCCAACCTGGAACATCTATACTATAATTCTACAGCCCCTCAGCCTGAGCCCCAGTCAGCTGACACAGACCAGCTGTGGGTGTATTATTTGCACCTGATTGTTTTGTCCTTCTAACTGAGAGAGGCAAAGCAGGGTGGGGGTGGAGGGGATAGAGGCCGAGCAAAGAAAACAGACGTCCCGGAATGAGACAGAGCACGGAAGACAAAGGATTTAATTTGTAGCAGATCCAGACGCTACTTGGGAAAGCTGGTGCTGGGAGCGACTGGCCCATGGAGACTCTGAACGGATGCCAAGACAAAAGGGACGTAGGTGGAAATCAATGTACGATGCCTGTACGGCAAGTCTGTGGGTTTTATTAAAATACTGTTTCCTGCAGAGCCTGGGGTTACAGTGTAGTTATAGTCAACAAAACAGCTATGGAAAACAAGGAACCTTCTTACTGAACGGTTTTGTTCCCTGTGAGGCTTTGCTTGCTTTATTGTCACCAGTGAGCTTTTGCTCTTCTTAGCCTTGCTGAGTCAGGACAGCCACAGGAGAGAAGCGAGGATGCTCTTCTGGCTCATGCATCGTTAACTAAAGTCACTCTTGCAGTTCTCGGCTGAGTTCTGCTTGCTGAATGTTACTAGTGGTGAAGGATGATGCAAGACACCGCTAGAGCCCAACTTGATTGGTCAAATCCCCATTCGAGTCTGTACTGCTGGCAATTCAATAAATCACTGTTTGATTTCTTGAGTGAGCAACTTTGATCAGGACACATGGACAGAAAAAAATCTGAAATCCATTACAGTATTACTTACAAATAGTCTTTGCAACCTTGTTTTAAGCCAGAGCTGCTTACAAATGAATGTGCTCTAGGAACATGGGGTGTCAAGCTAACAGCGATCCTTATTTATTCAGATCCAAATTTGTTGGTCTTACCAGCCACGAATGTCAGCATGGAAAGGGTGTCACTGTCATACATGAAGCTGTGTGATACTCTTCTGCCATGCTTGCAGTTACACAGCTTTACCACTGCTTCACAACATACTGGGTAGTGTGCACGTGCACCACTGCCCTCTACTGGTGGCAATCAGAACTGCTGAGCTGTGTGTCATAGGCTCCATACTGCTAATGGGGATTCTCCTGTAGCTTAAGACCTGTGCTCTTTCTTGAAGGAGAATTTTGGTTCTATCTCAGGTTATTTACGTGTATTGTGGCAGCACCTAGGAGCCTCAGCCATGGACCAGAACTCCAATGTGCTGTGCACTGTACAAACACAGAAAAAAAGACAGTTGATACCCCAAAGAGTTTAAAATCCAGATGTTGCTATGAAGTTCCAGTGAGTTCTGTGTGCAGGGTGAAGGCAGCCATGAGGTTCCTAGATGACCCTGGGCTTGTTATAAAATATTCAACCTGCTCAGCTTACAATGGGCCCTCCCTTACCTTCCTGTTTTTTCCACTAACTCTTCAGTTCTGATCTCACGAGGGTGATGGGAGATGTAGCATAGATCAGTGGTTCTCATGCTGTGGTATTTGTCCTACTGGTGGCACATGGGTTGTTTTCAGGCAGCGTGCAAGCTTGGTTTGAAGTACAGCGTCAGAATGAGAATCCATTATAGAATCGTAGAATTGGAAGGGACCTCGAGAGGTCATCTAGTCCAGTCCCCTGCACTCATGGCAGGACTAAGTATTATCTAGACCATCCCTGACAGGTGTTTGTCCAACCTACTCTTAAAATAACTTAGCACCAGTTTAAATGCTTGTTGACCACGCTGTATTTGACACAGATGACGATGTGATGCAGAGCAATAGCACTGTCTGCTGCTAGCTGCGGGAGTAGGACACAAGGCTCTCTGCTTTCAGTGGTCACCTCCATCGCGGCGAGCATTTCACATCCACCACGCGCTTTCGTTTGCAGGTGAACGGCTATGAAGTGGAGCTGCCGTTTTTCCTCCCCTCCGGCCAGTTGGAAATTTATCGGAGCAAAAACGGCACGGTGATTGAGTCCAAAGGGCTTGTGAGAATCCAGTACTCCAACCTGGGCATGCTGCAGATACGCCTCTCGACTGCCTACTTCAACTGCACTGCCGGACTGTGCGGCTTCTTCAACGGGAACATCAGCGACGAGTTCTGCTTCCCCAACGGCAAGTGCACGGACAACCTGGTGGTTTTCCTGCAGAGCTGGACGACCTTCGACGAGATCTGCAATGGGGAGTGCGGGGACCTGCTCAAGGCCTGCAACAACGACTCGGAGCTGCTCAAGTACTACCGGAGCCGCTCCAAGTGCGGGATCATCAATGACCCCACCAACAGCTCCTTCCTGGACTGCCATGGCGTGGTCAATGCGTCGGCCTACTACAGAACGTGCCTCTTCCGTTTGTGCCAGAGTGGGGGCAACCAGTCGGAGCTCTGCGACTCGGTGGCTCGTTACGCTCGCGCCTGTAAGACCGCGGAGGCGGAGGTCGGTCAGTGGAGGAGCTTCAACTTTTGCCGTAAGTTGGGGAAAAGTCTTCGACTTTGGGTGGGGTGAACTTGGACTTCTTCTGAGGACAAATATGTTCATTTTTTTCCCTCCTCCCTTGGCCATCCTTCCTTCCCCTCCGCCCCCAGATCCTTCCCCTCAAAGCTGCGCCTCCAGCCTGCGCATCTGAGGACTATCGACTAAATGTTTTAGTGGTCCCATTGTGACAGATTTTCATTACTAATCTGCCTGGGGCCACAGGATCTTTTTGGGGAGGAGATGACAAGGCACACCAAGTGTCTAAATTTTAAAGCTTTATTAATAAAATAATAAAATAACAGCAGAGAGTGCTGGGAACGCTCCCACGTCACTCAGGGGAAGAAAGCAAGCATTAACGCCCCAAGCCGTAACCCACTTTCATACTCACACACGCACTACCCAAGGCTGGCCAGGCCTGGGTGTAATGTCAGAAGAAAAGGGTGCAGGGAAGGTGGACGGGAGTGCTGTCCTGGGCCCAAGCCATCCAAGTCTGCTGTTGCTCTCCAAGTTGCTCCAGCTCTCGAGGGTTTTAAGTCCTGGGCACCTTGGGGGACATTCCACTCAGGGACCTCTGCTTCTGGTGCTCTTTGTCCCAGTCCAAACCGGCTTGCTGCGGCCTCCTCAGTTTCCCAAAACATCCTCGCTCTGGAGACTTTGTTTCCCCTTCTATTGGCCTTCGCTGTCGCCGTCTCATTTGCTCTCACTGTTCTCGCTGCAATCTCTGCAGCTCTGCTCAACTTAGTTCTCCTCTTCTCACGGCTGGGCAGCTGCTGATTTCTCGTCGAGCCCATGACTTTGGGCCGGGGCCAGCGTCTTATCTTCACATGGAGCTAGCTGAAGTGTTGAGTTAACCCGTTCTCTGCTCTTCTTCTTTCTCTCCCCTTGGCCTCTCATATTCCGCAAAGGAAACTTCCAGTCTCCACTCACACATCTTTGACCCTCCCCAAAATGCTTTGCGATGCTTGCAACAGTGTTAGCCACATACAATGCTGATCTGCCTTCCCTGGAGACTCCCTGAGGGAGGGGGCATCATTGGGGTGTGACACCATGATGCAAAGTGTCAAAACGTGTTTTTGTTGGGCCTGTGCTATGCAGGAGGTCAGACTAGATGATCTTCTGGCCTTAAAATCAATGAATCTATTCAACATTTTTGGAGGGAGAAAAAAATGGCTTTTTGACCAAACCAAACATTTTCATGGAAAATTGTGAGTTTTTTTGGTCAGAGACCGTCTTTTGTTCTGCGTTTATACAGTGCCTAGCACAGTGGGGTCCTGGTGTATGACTATAATAAATAATAATTCATAGTTAATAATATCTATTGTTTCCTCTGTTTAGGTTTTTATAAGGTTGCCCATCACTATCGTGTCTGGGTGCAACATAGATTCATAGGGTAAAAACCTGGCTCTGTTGAATTCAATGGGAGTTCAAAGGAGCCAGAATTTCACCTATAAATTTTAAGTTCAGAAGGGAACATTGTGATCATCTTATCTGATATCCTGCTTAGCACAGGCCAGAGAATTTCACGCAGTAATTCCTGCATCTAGCCCAGTATGACCTCACTGAACAGAACTTGATGCTCTGATTCACAAAAATCTCTGCAAATGAAGGCTTGGTGGTGGTTTTTTGCTATTTCACCAGCTTCAGTCAATACAGGTTTTTTGTAACTGTAGCCAATGATGCAAGAAGAAGTAGTCTCTTACGTCGCTATTTTAAGCCATGCATTGGGGTCAACAAAAGGAAATAGTCGGGGAGTTTCTTAACTTGTTTACCAGCTCCTTATTCAGATGAGCACCAGCTTCAGCCCCAGTAGCACTGTAGCAAAGTACAGTCTTGTGTTGCAGAAAGAAAACATTTATACTTGTCAGGAAGAATTGGCAAGTAAATGGGAAAATTGTACAAATTAAGAAGGTAATCTGGTTTGGGCACAAAAACACAAAGCTGTTGCTTTTTGTGCTCAGGCTGTTTTTTAAGCACTTGCAGACAGAGGTCTCCCAATTAAGTAATTTCATGATGGCATTTCAGGAGACATCAGGAGTTGTATTACACTGTGTCTGAGTGTTCCAGAATTGCAGAGGGATTCTAACAATAGTGTAAGCCATCAGCAGAGAGTAATTTGAATAAGTTGTGTTTTTTTGCTGTCGCTGTCAGCTTGCCGTCGATGTTGTAACATTCATAATTCAAAAGCACGTGTAAAAATCCCACACCGCAGAAGTGCATAACAGGCAATGAACCAGCCTTCCTGTCTCAAACTGAGGGCTTATGGGAGTCTGTGAAAGGAGGAGGGAAGGAGAGGTGGCATGATCTAGGGGACAGGGCTCTCAGAGTCAGGAGACCTGAGGTTCTATTCCTGTCTCTGACACTGACCTGCTTTGTGACCTTAGACAAGTCACTTTCTTGCTCTGTGCCTCGGTTTCCCCTCCAACCTTTGTCCAGCTTGCCTGTTTAGACTGTAAATTATTTAAGCCAGGGACTATCCTGTATTGATACTGTAATGCAAATATTAATGGTGGTGATAGGAGAGAAGCAGGATGTGGACAATGAGTCCAGAAAAGTCGACCACCTGCAATTTAGAATGGACTGTTGGCAAACTGATGTTTAGGCACAATTAATACAATAATAACATCATAATCCCTAGCTCTTATACAGCACATTTCATCAGTAGATCTCATCGTGCTACAGACTGCAAAGGAGGGCCAAATCAAAAGACGGATGGGCAACCTGAGGCACAGAGAGGGAAAGTGACTTAGCCAAGGTCACCTGGCAGAGTCAGTGGCAGAGTTGGGAATAGAACCCAGGACTCCTGAGTCCCTGTCTAGTGCTCTATCCACTGCCTCCCAGTAGAACATAATGGTCTCTTCATGCTGTTGAGGACATGTCACATGTAGTCCGTGGTTGTTATTGATACAGAACACTGATATGACTCTGCAAATGCGCACAGTTGCTGCACAAACTTGTCATAAATAACATCTGTTCCCTGGCTCAAAGAACTTGCCGTGTAAGGGACTGTGATCCAGCAAGGTGCTGAGCCCTCTGAGCTACTGCTGAGACCAGTGGGGCTTGAGCATACTCAGCATCTCCCAGGATGTGGTCCTGAGATCCAGGAGATGAGACCTGGAAGAATAAATAAACAGGAAGATGCAGAGAAGAAGGTGGGAAGGATTCCTAAAGGAGAAGGAGGAGAGATGGAGCAGATACGCAGAGGGGAGGTTGATCCAGGTGTAGGGGGATGCATTGGTTGAGGGTATGAAGCTGAGAGCAGGTAAAAGAGATGAAGGGAGCAGTAAGGCAAGAGAACCAGGAGATGTAGAGGAAGCGAGAGCCTAGAGGTGGAGGCCTGGAGCTAGGAGTTCTTGGAGGCAAGGGCAAAGAGCCTGAATGCCATGTGCTGGTGTGTATGTGGCGGCAGGGAGGGGACAGGAAGGGATTCATGGAGGAGGGCAATGCTGGGTGAAGAAGGTGAGTCTCAGACAAGGTTGCAGCTGTGAGCTGAAGGCAAAAGAAAGAAGTTAAGGTGTGATTCATGCGGTGAACTAGGTCAGCATCTCTGATGAAGACAGGTGTTTCAGACAGATGGGGCAGTCAAAGGGAAAAGGAGACGGACAAGACCAGAGAGATGGAAGGGGAGAAACTCTCTGAGAGAGGCCAGGGGGGGAAATCCACAGAAATTATCGAAAGAGCAAGAGGGCCATACTGAACTGGATCCTGAGATGAGACGGAGAGGAAGCCGCTGCAGCAGGCAGAGGGGGATGAGCAGGAAACCAGATATGGTGGCAGGATGAGGAGGGAGAAGTCAGAGGAGATGGGAGGTGAAAATGGGACAGGAGGATGCCGGGGCCAGGGAGGGGTACAGTTCTGTTTTCTTTCACAGTAGCTTCTGTGGCACTGTCCCCAATAGCACAACTTGCTCTTTGTCTCACTGATCCCACGTCCTCCTTCTCTCTGACCTGAATCTCCATCGCCGGTGACCGTGGAGCCTTTCTCCCCAATAAGCCATTGACGTTGTGTGTGTTTCATTGCCTCCAGCTCTTCAGTGCCCTGAAAATAGCCACTTTGAGGAGTGCATGACTTGCACCGAGACCTGCGAAACCCTGGTCATCGGCCCCGTCTGCGTGGACACCTGCATGGAGGGCTGCCAGTGCAACGAGGGCTTTGCCTTCCAAGGGTCCCAGTGTGTCCCCAGGAGCGAGTGTGGCTGCAGTTTTGAGGGGCATCAGCTCTCAACCAACCAGACCTTCTGGATGGACATCGACTGCCAGTTCTTCTGCTACTGCAACGGGTCTGACAACAGCGTGCACTGTGAGAACATCTCCTGCAAGGACGATGAGTACTGCCTGGAGGAGAATGGCCTCTACTACTGCCAGCCCCGCACAGATGCCTCCTGCATCGTCTCCGGCTATGGCCATTACTTGACCTTTGATGGGTTCTCGTTTGACTTCCAGAGCAGCTGCCCTCTGGTCCTTTGCACAACGATTTCCAGGCAGCGAGTGGAGAGGTCGGATACTTTCCCAGGATTCACCGTCACAGCCAAGAACGAGGACCGGGACCCGTCCCTGGCCTTGTGGGTGAAGCAAGTTGAAGTGGACGTCTTCAATTACAACATCGTCATCCACCGGGCCTACAAATACACGGTGCTGGTGAGTCGGCTGGTCATAGTATGACCAAGACGGTAGAGGGGTGGAGGGAGAGGCAGCAGGCTGGGGTTGTGGGACTCAGTTGAGCACAGGATACACTGCAATCTAATTGGGGACAGGGCAGGAGTTGACGCTATTGGAAGGTGGTGACGTTTTGGTAGATCCTGACCGATGGTCTTGTTCACCCTCGTCTGCTGTAGCTCTTGAGTCCTGAACAAATTCTGTCTCCAGAATTCCTTATGGTTCCTATCTGAGCATTTTCTGCTGCTCCGCATCTTTCATTTCATGAGGCTGCCATTGACTTGACTTTCTTAGGGGGCCTTCTGTTTTTCCCTGTGCTGCCTCCATCGTTGTATAGAGATCAACAGTGACATTTGTTTGTACCAATGCTTTCTGGAAGGATAAAACCCCAGCAAGCTGCATTGGAGGGTCCAAGCCTGTCTGTGCATATGAAACTCTTGTGGGAACTCCACGGGGGAGCTGCATGAGGAGGACTTGCAGGATAACTGGGTAACCACATCAAGGCAGGAAGGGGATTGTATTTCTGAGCTGTCTTAAGAGCTGCAAGCAAAGTGGGTGGGGTTCTAACTGACCTACAAGGTCTGATTGTTTTCGGAGCAGAACCTGGCAGCTGGTAACGAAACAAGCTGCAGCGTGGTGTTAGAGGTGTGTCTTTAAGCTCTTGTTATGCATAGCTACCTAGAACTGGAGTCTAAATAAAACAGAGCTCTTGCAAAAAGCAGAAGCACTAAGTGATTGCTGAACACCCCGTAGGGCATGATGCAGCGTCCTTGGGCAGCATGGAACACTTCTTAGCAGCAGGAAGTTCCCTGTGATGAGCTGATATTCCACTGGCGCTCATCTGGGCTGTCCATGCTGTCAGTTCCCCACACTGGGGGCTGTGAGACAAAAGTCTGTGGAGTCTGGATCCTGGTGTCCCAATAGAACCTATTTCCAGTAAGAGCCAAAGCAAAACACTTAATCCAAACGTGCCCAGGCTTTGGGAATGTTCAGATTGAGATCCAAATCTGGGTCAGAACTTCACGGCTCTGGGCCCATTTCTAATTATTGTCACTTTTGTGGCCTCTCTGCCAAGTGGTAGCAGATGTCTGGGACCTGCAGATTGGTTTGTTGTGAGAGAAGAAATCTGTGATGTAGATTCTGGGTATTTTCTTAAGACATGTCAATGCAATCACGTAGACGTATGTGAGCTCGTTTTAATATGGCTACATTGGGTACTAGCACAGTGAAGCCCCAGCAGCAACTGCTTCAGCATGAGCTCGCCACCCGAGTAATTATCTAGGGTCCCAGGCAGGCTTGTACTACTGCGGCTTCACTGCTCAGGCACTCGAGGTAGCTGGAATAATGCTAGCTCAGGTATATCTACTCGAGCTGCAGTCGCACCCTGTGATTGCGGGTCAGACGTACCCGTTGGGTAGCTTGTTTCTTCGCACTGTCTACACCAGTCCTGGAACAGAGGTGCTCACAAACAGCACACAGTATGGAAAAGGGAACCCCAGTCTGGAAAAAGCTGGGAGCCAGATCTAGCCCAGCTCCTGCCCAATGCAGCATCCCCCTGTGCTTCATCCAGGCTGTTGTTGTTGTTGTTATAATTATTATGGTAATCATCACTTTCTTCTTCTAAGAGCTACATCACAGTTAGAGCTTGCACAATAGAGCATCTCCCATGAGGTGCATATCCTAAAACAAATGGCATCCCTTGATCCCACCTTCAAGTCCTTGCAGATTAATGATTACCCACCCGCTTCTGTGTCCTTGCAGATTAACAATGAGCGTCTCTACCTGCCCTTGAAGCTGGGCCAAGGGAAGGTGAACATCTTTGCCTTTGGCTTCCACATTGTAGTGGAGACCGACTTTGGGCTGAAGGTGGTGTATGACTGGAAGACCTTCCTCTCCGTCTCCGTCCCGCGAAGCCTCCAGAACAACACCTACGGCCTCTGCGGCCGCTACAACGGCAATCCTGGCGATGAACTGGAAACCTCCAGCGGGCTGGTGGCCTCCAACATCGACGACTTCGGCCAGAGCTGGGTGAAACGGGACACCTTTTGCCAGGTGGGCTGTGGTGACAGGTGCCCCGCCTGCAGTAAGGTGGAAGGGTTCTGGAAACCCCAGCAGCTGTGCAGCCTAATCCCCAGCAAGAGCAGCATCTTCACCAAGTGCCATAGCAAAGTCAACCCCGGCTTCTTCTACAAGAACTGCCTGTTTGACACCTGCATTGACGGGGGATCTGTCCAAACCGCCTGCAGCTGGCTGCAGAATTACGCCAGCACCTGCCAAACCCAGGGAATAGCCATCACCGGCTGGAGGAACTTCACCTCGTGCTGTGAGCAGAACCTTTTCCTTCTACCTTTGCCCCTATAAATTACTTGGATGATCGTCTGCTTTCAGACCAGGTCCTCAGCTGGTGTCGCTCCACCAACTTCAATAGAGCAATGCCGCTTTGCACCAAAGGGTCTGTCTCTTTGTGTGCAAAAACTAAAGCTTCCCTCTCCAAAGAGTGGGGGACGATATGGTGAGAAAATGGCAATACACAGTAGATGGAGCTAGATTCAAATCCAGTCCAGTGGCTGTAACTGGTGCCATCTGATGGCTGTTCTGGGTGACCGGCGTGAGATGAATTTAGTGGCCTTGGCCCAGTTCCTAGTGGGCAAGTGTCTGCAACACAAAACCACCACTGCTCCTGGTGCTAATTGGCCCCCTGGTTGGCCACCTTGGCAGCAGGCACTGGGTGGGCCATGGAGACTGAGCTAGTTCTCGGTGATCCCTGCAGGGCAGTGCCCTTACCCATGCATAATCAGAGGAACTCAGTCTCCCAGACTGTCAGCCTGGCATTTTCCACTAGCACCCCAAGTCTGGTGACGAGGCAAGGCGAGGGAATCAGTGTTCAGGTCCCAGCCAAGCAGCGTAGGTAATCTCCGTAGCAGCTACATGGAGCTGCACTGCAAAGAGAGAGGCGGCAGCATCGTAGACACCTCTGTGGAGGGATGAGCCTCATGAGACAGTGTTGCCCAGTGGATAGGGAACAGAACTGGAAGCCAGGACACCTGAATTCTGTTTCCAGCTCTGTCACTGACCTGCTCTGGGACCTTGGGCAGGTCATTGAACCTCCTTGTGTAGAACTTCTCATCTGTAGAACAGGAACCATGGTGGCCTAGTGTTGTGGAATGTTCTGAGATGCATGGCAGGAAAGCGCTATGCAAATGTTATTGTTATTAATGATGAGTATGATTGCCGTGGTGTCTGGCTTTTCTGGGGGGAGGTGGTGAATATGGGGGCGAGGAATCCTTGACACTTCAGGGATTCCTAAGGAGAAGAACCAAGGTTAGGCCCCATAATAATGACAAAACCAAAAATAATGGGTTAAAAATTAAACTGACGATATGAGACAGGGAAGAAAAATAGTTCAACAAATAACTCAGCATGAAAGAGATGTGTACCAGAGTCACGGGAGATTATCTCTCATATCAACAGATCCGTAAAGGAAATGGAGCTGCAGGAGGATGAATTATGGGGCAGTCACTAAATCTGAAGGTTTCCTAAGCACTTGGCAGGAAACAAGTTTGTCTCCGGGTATTTCTCCAGGCTTGTTGGAAAACCCTGAGCCTGGGGGGTGTAACGGTCAGGAGGGCTATTGTTTGTATTGTATGCAAATCTACTCAGGTGCTAGGATTGGTGGCATGCTGTGGTTGATGCTAGGAGCTTTCTAGTTTGGTCTCCCCAATCTGGATGAGAACAGGGTTTTTATTTCCCTGAGAGCTGAGTTAGCCGGGTCGTACAAACTGCCCCTCATTGGATTAAGCCCTGTCCACACTGCAAATACAACCATGAGAAGTGATGCCAAATCCTGTTTCAGACACAGGCCCCACTTCTGCAATCCGGTGCTTGCAGAGCCCCAGTGAAGCCCTTGGGTTTGGTAAAAAAAAGCAACTGCCTGCATGGATCCAATTGCAGCGTTGGGGCCGTGATTCCAAAATGCACTGCCCACCAGCCCTTCACTGTGTTTTGCAAAAAAGGCTAAAGCCCGGGTGAGACTAAGACTTTAAACCAGACATCTCCTGGGTAAGGTCCAGCCGGCGTTACAGATCGGAGCCATGTCTGTAAACGGGTTAGCAGGCAAGTGAGTTGTAACCGGATTCCCCAGCGTGACTGGGTTTGTAGACAGGCTGTTGGTTTGCGTTTCTCTCCACGCAGTGGCGGAGCCGTGCAAGAGCCCGGGCGCGGGCCTGCTCCCGAGTCGGCTGAAAGCACAAGACGCTGGCACGCTTTCGGACCATCTTTCAACCATGTTCTGTGTGAGCGTGCGCTGTGCCAGCAGCCTGTTGTGTGATAACCACATTACAAAGCCTGCAGATGGGCCTTGTAGCATGGTTTAACAACAGGGATCTCACACACAGGGCGGGTGCACTTCAAGGGGAGCTGCAGGGGCTCAGCTCCCTTTGGAAACCAGTCCCCCCAGGCTAGAACTGTCTAACCGGCTAAGTACGGGGACTCTAATGTATTGTGGACAGGGCTTGAGATCCTGTCCATGTTATAAAGACAGCTGTCAGGGAGCCAGTTTACAATACAGTTGCACCCCAACCAAGTCAGAGCATGGCTCTAGTGGCAAAGGAACCTGGCTGAGGTTTAATGTCGTCTCTGGACCCTGCTAAAATCTTGGCTAGTCAAGTGCTTCAGCACACCCTGATTAGGTTCTCCTCTGCCCTGCCCAAAGGATCTATGGAGAAAGTATGGCTTAGGACTCAGAAGATGGGGGTTCAATTCCTGGCTCTGCCTCAGACTCTCTGTGTGACCCTGGGCAAGTCTCTTACTCTCTGTGTGCCTCAGTTTCACCAGTGTACAAAGGGGATGATACTGTCCTCAGGAGTGCTGTGAGGATAAATACATTAATGACTGTGAGGTACTCAGATACCATCCCAAGGGAGAGGGTGGTAAGTGCCTGTATAAATAGGTGGTGCTTTTATTGCACCAGGGGCATGAGTGTGTTGTAGCTGCCTCCCTCTATACAGCTGTACTTGTAATGTAGAAGTAGCACACTGGCACAGTGTGTCATGTTCCCCTCTCTAGTGATTGGGCCAATTAATAACAGCCTACTACTGATGCCTGCTAATGGAGCTACTCCTTTAGCTCAAGTGATAGAAGATCTGTGCTGAAAGTCTGCAGTTTAAACCCTGTAGAAAACCCACAAAGAGCACAATTGAATCATCAGGAGCCACACAGTTTAGAGCATCTTGCACCTCGTAGCAAATCCAGGACGGGGAAGGGTTAACTCCAAAGTTCAAAAGAGAGCAGCTCTTCTTCATTTGTTAAATAAGAATTTGATTAGTTATATAGGAGGGGAAGATCCTGTGTTTGTTCTAATGATGCTGCCTGCTATTGTCAATAAGATGACAATGCATTGTTCAATTAAACTCCCTCGTAAATGGAGCTGCAAACCTCTGCGGCAGACAGACCATCTGGCAAATCAGACAAAAAGTAATTTTCATCACTAACAAGATTTAAAATTAAATTTGGTTTATTCTTCTTTCTAGACGCAAAGTCATGACTTAAAACGTAATGCTCCCGAGTCAGAGGGACTTGCTTCTGGGGGCTGGAGCTAGGTACAGCATGGGCCTGGGTTGGCTTCCATGGCTTGCATTCTGTATCTGTGAACTGAATAGAGCAGAAGTCCGGAGAGGCGATGCATAGGTGGGAATACTAGAGGGAGCTAAGGGGATAGGTGAAAGGAGAGAAGTAGTGTAGTCTAGTGATAAGGTGCTGGACTGGCTCTCGGGGGCCCTGGGTTCTAGTCCAGGTTCTGGCACTAGCCTGTTGTGAGAGTTTGTGCTAGTCACCTTAGCTCTCTGGCCATCTGTTTCCCCTCCTCTTCTTCTGTCTTATATTTTAAGTTTGTAAGGCCTTCAGGGCGGGGACTGGTTCACAGCGTGTGTATCGTGCCTTGCCCAATGGAGCCCTGATCTTGGTTGTGGCTTCTGGGCACCACTAGAGTCCAGAGAAGCATAGAGAAGGAGGAGGAGAAGAAGGTGGTATGTTAAGTGAGGATGCTTTGCTGGCTGCTCGCTTGCTTGGCTGAGAATACAATAGTGTAGTAGTTCTGCTAACGGTCTTTAGTCATAGCCAGCAATAACTCTGTGGGTCTTTCTTGGCAAAGACCACTGGCCATTCAAAATGGATTCTGTGCTGTGCACAGATGGGGGCTAAGGATGGGAGGCCAACCATACCTATTCTGAGATTTGAAGCTGGCCCTCTAGAGGTGAAAGACTAAGGCACAGGCAGACCACATCTCCCAAACCCATCATTGAAGCCTTAGGGGATTTCATGTTAAAATGGAAACGTTTTAAGTGTGGCTCACAATAACCCAGGACCATACCGATTATCTTACATTAATGCAACAGCTTCCATCCCAAATGAATGAGCTAATCTAATATCGGACTAGTAAAATGCAGCTGTTTCTGGGGTGGAATATAAATTGCAGCTTAACAGAGCACAGCAGCACAGTCCCTTGGTTTTAGCAAGTGAGGATGAAACACTGTATCCAAATTCAGTGCCTGAGAAATTTGAACAAAATTGGCTCAGGGCCCTGGGGTATCAGTCACTGATATTCTAAAAAGTACCAAGATCTTAAATGACTAGCTGTCTGGGTTCTCTTCTTTGCCTTGATCAACTTCCTCCTCTGTGCCTCATTTTACCCAGCAGTAACATTGGGATGAATGTGCCTTACCTGGTGGGATGAATCTTAATCAGTGCCTGCAAGGAAGGTGCTTTGCGATCTTTGGATGTGCCCATTGGCCAACCTGAGTCTTGCTCCTCTTTAGGAGTTGGGAGGGGGCGGGGGGCTGGATAGCTGAGGGAGTCTATGTATCAGCCTTTCACCTCTGCAAACCTGGACTGTAGCTTTTCCTCCCCGTGGGGGTGCACGAGACTACCTGCCATTTGACCCTATAGCTTAGTATTAACACTCGAGCTAAGCTTACTGGACTGTGCCATTGTGGGGTAGGGGTGGGGGTGGCTGTTAATTCAGTCAAAGCGGTTGTGACTACCCATTTTCTCCTGCGCGCTAAACCCTGTGCGTTGCGTTCCAGCTGTCGGCTGTCCCCCCAACAGTCACTACGAGAGCTGTGTGACTGTGTGCCAGCCCCGCTGTGCTGCCATCCGGCTGAAAAGCGACTGTAACCTTTACTGTGTGGAAGGGTGCCAGTGTGACCCTGGTTACGTCCTGAACGGCAAGAGCTGCATCCTTCCCCACAACTGCGGCTGCTACTTAGATGGCAAATATTATGAGGTAGGACCGTCCTCGTCTTCCACCTTCCCTCTTTTCCTTCCTTCCTTTTTCTCTCCGGCCGGGTGTGTGCTGAGTTGTCGTCCTTCTCCCCTCCCCACACTGATGTAGCTACATAGGGTTAGATGTGCTGCACTAGTGTAAAAAGTGACTTGTATCAGTGGGGCATACCCCTGTGCAAATCACTTTTTACACTAGTGCTGCGCATCCACACTGGGGCGCGTACCCATGCAGCTACTCTGTGCCCGTGCGGAAACAACCCACAGCCAGCTTTCCGTTTACACTAGGACCTTGTCTTGTAACAAAAGACGTGTGAACATGCCGGTGCGGGCTTCAGGATGGGCGAGCAACCATAACATACACCAGCCAGAGAGCCTGGGTATGGACGTTGCTTACTAGCCTGTGTTGAAGCCTGTGCTACCTTGTTTACACTATTATTGATACCAGTGCTAGCTAGATTAAAGCCAGTGTGTGGATGCAGTCACCTGTAGTGTAGATATGCCCCAAATCTCTTTTGAAAGCGGCCTAAGGCACTGAGGCTACCAGACCCTGATGTTCTAAAAAGTACAAGATCTTAAATGACCAGATGTCTGGGTTCTCTTTTTAAAACATTACCCTCGGCCAGACCAATGTTCCCTCTAACTTTTCTTTGTTCTCTGTGGGCTGCAAACTCCATTTCTATCCTTGGGCAAGCTCACTTTTTTTTTTTTTTTTTTGGTCTCACACAATATGGCATTGAAGAGTGAAAGGTGTTTGTAAAGTGACGTGTCAGTAATGGATATACCGGGTCACACACGCACGCATAGCAGTAGGTTGAGAACCGATGAACTCTCCAGAGTTTTGGAATACAAAGTTGGAAAACCAGGAAACCAAGAGCCATGCCTTTCCCCCAGTGAGACCCAATACACTCCCCCTCCCAGGAGCCTCAGCCTTTGAGGGGGAACCCCCACCAGCCCCTCCCAGGAGCCGCTGTCTCCTCCCACCCTGCTCCTTATAACCCCACTGGCTCGAGGTTTCTTTGGGGGAAGGGATTTTAGGGTTTTTCCCTCTCTGTCCCTCAGCCAGCCCTGCTCTCCCCTCTGACTCCGGGGTCTCCAGGAGGGAATTGCTGTTGCAGCCCGGAGCAGGCATGAAGAGGAGTGCATGAACTGCGACCCCTGCCCCAGCTGGGATGGCGGCACAGGTTCCCCCTCCCCCTGTTCCTCCCACTGGGCAGGGCTGCCAGGGGCTCATTTCAGCCCTGGCAGCCTGCAAGCGGCAGGGATCAGCATCTCCACCAGGGTGATGCCAGGGGCTCTGTGCACCCTGGAATGGGATCCTGAAGAGCCTCTCCCACCACCCACCTAAATGGTGCTTCTGCCCTTCCCCAGTCCACTCTTCTTACCCTTCCCTGCTGGCTCAAGGCTTCCTATGGCACCAAGAGTTGCTGCCCTGGCTTCCCACAGGAAGGCCCGACAGACAGAGCAGGACCCCTGCTGGGGTCTCCAAAGCCCCTGCCTCTCTCATTCTTCTCCTTACCTCTCCTCCCTGCTGGTCCCCGGTGCCAAGAAGAGCAGCTGTGGGTTATGGCAGGTGGAAGGCCTGGGTGCTGCCTGAGCTCCCGGCCACATGAGGGGTGTGGGAGCGACCACATTGCTGTGCACCTGCACTTGCTCGCAGCTTAAAGGGACCATTGGGCCTGATGCCGCTTCACGCCACTCTGCCGGATTAAAGGGAAGTCAGTGTAATTTCCGCTCACTTCAAGACCCCTTTGTGCTGCCATAACGGTGCAAAGAGGCCACAGTGCAAATGAGACTCAGTCCCACTGTGCATATAAGTCCTGCTTTCCCCTCCGTTGTTTCTGTACAGGTGCCTTGTGTTTTTCCTCTGTGTCCGCTGCTCTGAGCTAACAACTTCTGAGAAGATGGTGGTATTGCATCTAAATGAGGGTGTCTTCAAGGAGCTCTCCTCATCTATATTCTGCCAAGCAGGAAAAAAAATAAATAACAAAAATTGTAAAATTTGAGTGCGCACAGTGCAAATTATGCAGTTTTTCTTCCCTGAGCTGCCTGTGGAATTGCATACTAAATGGTCCCTAAATAAGAACAAAACAGAGATGGAGAATGGAAACACTCTCCATTTGCTATGGTTTCTTCTGCCCCTTGTTGCCTTCTAACTGGACGGGCCTCCAATAAACTTTGGATGTAAAGATGGGAATTCTATTTTGTTCTCTGCTACCGGCTCTGTGGGACAGTGAAATCTTCCTGGAGGATAATTTGTGGGTCCATTTAAGAGAGTTTCTCTCCTCTGTTAGCTGCAGCGCTGTGAAGCAGGAATGCAGAGTACGTTTCCCTGCTGTTATCTAGAGACCGATGCCAGCATAATTAATAACCTTAATGTATTTAGCCATATAGTTCTTCAGGTTATGTAGTATTCATCACCTTAATCCTTGCAATGGAACGACAAATTCTTAATAATGAGACTGAAACTTAGTCTAGCTCGCAGTAAAAATGAAACTTAAATTCGCATAGCAGCATTTGCATGTAGCAGTGGGGCTGATTTATCCCTTGTTTAAACCCATACAACACTACTGACTTCAGTGGATTTACTCCTAATTTACACTGGTGTAAGTGAAAGGAGGGAATCAGGCTCCCCGAATCTCATAATGGATTTTACAGGGTTAAAACAATAAACAGCAGAGGAAAGAGAAGAATCAAGGGGAAGAAGGGAGATGGAATGAGAAGGATGAAGTGGAGAGATAGGAGAAGGCTGGTCTAGGTTGCTGGAACGGCAGAGAAGGATCTCGTGCCAATAGTCAAGGCTTTGATGTTGTTAGATAGCAGGATGAAACAGTTCATTGACCAAAAACCTTCGGTGTTCTCATTGTAGATGCAAAAAACGTTTTTATTTGTTGTGTGTTTGTGCAGCGCCTAGCACCAAGGGGTCGTGATTCTTGACGGGGGCTCCTAGGCACTACAGTAATACAAATAACAATAATAAAGTGGCGGTATTAGTGCTCTTGGAAGTTAATGCTGCCATGCCTAGCAGAACCATTGTGGCATAGGTCGGGTTCAGCTGCTGTCCTGCTACTAATCCACACTGTTTTTCAGTAGCTTATAACTCGATCCTGTTGTTGTTGTTGTTTATTATTTTAGGCATAAATTGGGCACCGAAGTTGGTTAGCATCTCTCAAAATGCTCGGACCCAAATGCTGGGCACAGAAAGCCCTCAGATGAGGGGTACGCAGTACCTGGAGGAGAGCTAAAACGTTGTGGGATTCCTTCCATTAATGTCAATAACTCTGTCTATCACCGCATTTCCACGATTCTGCATTTCTGCTGGAAATAATTTTCAACAGTAAGAGCATGAGGGCACCCCATTTACGTGGAACATGCTTAACTTTGGGACTAAAATGAGGGACAATTGGATGGGTGGACATTAGCCCCAGGGTAATTTTTTTCCCCATTGAAAATGTCAGATCAGTGAAGCTATATGTGTATGTTATTATTTGTATGCAGTGTTGTTGTAGCCATGACAGTCCCAGGATATGAGAGAGACAAGGTGGGTGAATTAATATCTTTTATTGGACCAACTTCTGTTGGTGACAGAGATGAGCTCTGTGTAAGCTTGAAAGCCTGTCTCTCTCTCACCAACAGAAGATGGTCCAATAAAAGATATTCCCTCACCCACCTAGTCCCTATGTTTATTTAGCAGTATAGGGAAGAAATGTTCAGTGAGCTGAGGGAAGGGGGACCAGGAGTCTGGACTCCTGAGTTCGATTCCTCACTGCCACTAACTTACTGAATTTGATGATCAGGGGTTGACTGGCTCAGGGGTGTCAGATGAGCATGTCTGTGCAGATCTGCATGTCTAGAGCTGGGGTGTACTCAACTGTTCAAGGCCAAGTCTAGAAACCTCTGACAGCATAGTCGTGTTGGTTAGGGGGATGATTCCCCCCACCCCCTGAAATTTTTATACCAGCAAAAGCCCCAATATAGACACAGTTAAACTGGTAAAGCACATTGGTGCCTGCGGAAACTCCGCTACCTCCACTAGGGGGATTCACACTATAACTGTACCAGTTGACATTATCTTCTGTAGACTAGAGTGTAGGGACAGAGCCCACATTTGAAAACTGGACTCTTCAGTCCTGGCTTTTCAGATGTGTCACAATTCTGTCTCAATTCTTACCTTTCTAAATGCTTACCATCACCCAATTTTGCATGTGCTTTTTGCAAGCTTATCTGCATGCCAGGGTGATAGATTCCATTCTTTGCATGCAAGGGTGATGGAATTTAGCCCAAAGCAACAGTCCACATACACAGGTGATGGTGCCCAAAAGTACGTGCGCGTGAGTGAAAGTTGTGGGCTCATGAGAGGATTCCACCCTTTGAAAATCTGTCTCTAGAGAAGATTTAACACATTTCTCGTTAAAGCAAAAAAACATCATCCCAATGCAGGATGCTTCTTGAAAAGACTGGCTTGTTTAGTTGTTGTCTTCATCCATACTCCCACGGGGGGCTGTTTTTCTCCTTCAGAAACCGTGGTGCCTACATTCTTATCAGAAGCAAAGCAAGCCCGTACGTCCAATTGTTCTATGAATCTGATACAGGGGCTGAAGTCAATTTGTGTTCTGCTGGAACAGTACAAAAAGTTGGTCAATAGGATATTTATAGCACTGCGAGCTTGAGTGAAAGAGGGGAAGGTTGCTGTGGAAACGGCAACTTCAAATTTCCTCACTTCTGCAGCTTCCAAAGGTTTCAGTGCAGTTGGATTATTTTTATCTATTGGTCACCCTTTTGTCTATTGAAAGTCACTGCATACCGTCCAATCCTGCAACTGGGCTTTTTCAAAGGGCTGGCTGATTTTATGATGATTAATCACTGTTTTGTGCTTCTGCGAAAGGCTAATTAAATTTCAGGCTTTAGGGCGTAAGCTGAACCTCCCCAGGGCTCTACAAAGACTCTTTGCCCTGTGTACAGTACTGTGCTATTGGCATTATAGGGTTGTTGTCTTTTCAGCCTTGCTCTGAAGGATCAGGTATTGGCCACTTCTCGAGGTGGGATATTGGACTGGCTAGATCAATGATCTGATCTGAGATTGCCACATTACTGCTAGCATGTATGTGCTACCACTGCCCTCTACTGGCTGAAGTGTTGGCAATTCTATCCCACAGTTCAGATTAGCTGAGCCTGAGCTGTCCAAATTGACTTGCTGCCATTTAAATCTCCAGAGGAGATGGCAACTGAGAGCTCCTCCAACCAGAATTCAACCTCTCTGGGTCTGACAGAGCCCATGCCTGTTGACCTACAGTGCAATCCGTGTCCCATCTCAGCTCTGCCATAGACTCCCCGGGTGACCACAGACAGGCAAGTCACTTATCCTTCCGGGCCTCAGCTCCCCTGGTACAACGTGGGGATAATAATCCTTTCTTCCTCCCACCCTTTGTCTGTCCTACCTGTTTAGATTGCCAGTTCTTCAGGGTGTTGTCCCTTACTGTGCGTATGTACAGCGCCTAGCACAATCTTGCATCTTGGCAGGGAGTTAGACTAGAGGACCTTGGCGGTCCCTTCTAACCCTATGGGCCTATGATTCTATAACGGGCCCCTGATCGCAGCTGGAACCTCTTGACATTACCATAATACTACTGCGAATAAGGCCCATCTCCTTCTATAAGATTTGTTCAGGACAGTGGGTGGGCAACGGTCCCGAGAGAGTTTAGAGAACTCCACAATTTGACATGAGCCCAGAGGCTCTGGTGATGCGCCTTATGGTTGAGTCGGTCGGTTCCCAGTAAAATGGCTTTTCCTCTCGCTCCCTCCTTCAGCCCAAGCAGCTGTTCTGGAACAGCGACTGCACCCGGCGCTGCCGTTGCTTCCGCCGCAACCTAGTCCAGTGCGACCCGCGGCAGTGCAAGTCGGACGAGGAGTGCGCCCTCCGCAACGGCGTCCGTGGCTGCTTCAGCACCAAGAGTTCCTACTGCCTGGCGGCGGGCGGCGGGGTCTTCCGCACCTTCGACGGCGCCTTCCTCCACTTCCCGGCCAACTGCGCCTTTGTCCTCTCCACCATCTGCCAGAAGCTCCCCGACTTCTCCTTCCAACTGATCATCAGCTTCGACAAGTGGTCGTTGCCCAACCTCACCGTCATCTCCCCGGTGTATTTCTACATCAACGAGGAGCAGATTCTCATCAGCGACCGGAACACCATCAAGGTAAAGCGCCGGTTGTGGGTTTCCTCTGCTCCTCCCTGAAACTCTTAGGGGACTAGCCACTCCCCGAGGCTGAGCTTGAGCTCACTGGGACAGGGAGGAGGGAAAGTATCTGGCCACCAAGAAGCAGGGCTGGGTTGGGATTCTCCAAAGTGGAAAAGCCAATTGCCACCCCTTTCCCACATTAGGAACATCCCCGTCACCCCCTGACTTCACTGTCCGTTAGGGTGTTGTATTCAGCCCATCACCATAGTATCTGAGCACCTTCCACACCGGTTAACCAGCTGGCAGTAGCAAAGGCTCTAGGGAAGTTCATGCAGCCTCTGGCTCATCTCCCTTTTTAGGTTCTAGGAAGCCCTGCTTGTGGGAGGGGAAGGCGGCGGCTGGGAATGTCGTTCTCCTTAGGGCAGAAGGGAGGTAAATCAAAGGGGAAGGTTTTTGCAGTGCTTCCTCACTGGATCTGCCTCCCTGGAAGCTGTCGTGAGTGATGGGTTTGAGCACGGTTTGCCTCTGGTTACTGATTATTTGTACTGCGTGAGCCCCGCATGCCCAGGACCCCATTGTGGGGTAGGTGCTGACCAGACAGATGGCCCCTGTCTCAAAGAGCTCCCGATCTCCGTCGAGCTGAGCTGAGCTTACCCCGTGCAAAGGGTTGGCACAATCTAATGCACGTCCCAGGCACTTCTCCCTCCTAGAATGCTAAGAAGACTTGAAAAGGGACAGGGGGTAGGATGGATCCTGGCCTTGCCCCGCCTCCATTACGGAGCTGGCTGGTGGCAGGGAGGGGCAGCATGAAGGGATGTTTCCCATGCTGCCCGCTGCGGGGACCTGTGCCTATCAGGTTCAGTCTGTCCCTTGGAGTGTTGAGAGGTGAGTGGCTTCAGCCTTATCTCCTCCCCTTGAGTAGGTGAATGGCACCCAGGTGACCATCCCCTTCGTCACCGGGCTCTCGACCAAAATCTACAGCATGGAGGGCTTCTTGGTGATCGACACCAGCCCGGATATCCAGATCCTCTACAACGGCTTCAACGTCATCAAAATAAGCATCAGCGAGCGGCTGCAGAACAAAGTGTGTGGCCTGTGCGGCAACTTCAATGGGGACCGGACCGACGATTACGTCACCCTGAGGGGGAAGCCGGTCGTCAGCAGTGTGGTTCTGGCCCAGAGCTGGAAAACCAATGGCATGCAGAAGAGGTGAGCCTGGGGCCTCGTGTGTAGACGTGCCCAAGGTTCCTCTTGGAGCCAGTGAGTGTTTGGCCGTTGACACCAGTGGGCGCCCACGTTGTGTATCAGGAACCCATCCACAGCTCGGTACAGGGGAATAAGCCCTGGAGGAAAAGTCCTGCAGTATTTAATAGGGAACAATAATCTGGAGCAGTGTGAACCTTGCCATGGAATTTAATAGCGAATTCTATCCCCCTGTAGAATCCCATAGGAGGGCTCAAATCACCTTTAGAAATGAGATCATTTGCTCTTCATTTCTCTTGGTTTGTAGAGTAATTTCTATAGAACCCTGTTGGTTTCACCCTCATTTAGGGTGACCAGACGTCCCGATATTTAGGGCTTTGTCTTACGTAGGTACCTATTACCGCCCACCCCTGTCCTGATTTTTCACACTTGCTGTTTGGTCACCCTACCCTCATTAGTGTTGTTCATTTGCCTTGCCACAGCACTTAGGAGCCAGAGCCCATTGTGCTTGGTGCTGTACGAACATATGACAAAAAGACAATTCCTAAACCCAATAGGATCATTTACACTAAGGCCATATCACTCCACTCTGGTTGTGCAAAGGGACCTTAACGTGCGGGTAAATTACATATACACCCACTTTAGGGCTCCTTTACACTGCCAAAATGGGGTAAAGGAGCCTTGGTGTGAATAGAGATAAGGCTTATTGGCCTTACCTACTTGGAAGTCAGCTTTGAACCTATGTCCTGGGCCCTAACCTGCACTCCTAGTTGTGCACTGCAGTTGGTACGTCAACCTCTATACATGGCTTGTCCTAAACTGCAGAGATCTCCCCAGCTCAAATCCCTGTATGGGCCACCCCTTGGGGTGGGTGGTTGGCAGTGGGGATTGAACCTGAGATCTCTGCATCTTAGAGCATGTGCCACAACTGCCTGAACCAAAAGACCCGGCTCTGTTAGTCACGGCTGAAGAGGCTCATTGACCTCTCGGAGTCCCTGATGATGTTAGAGGGGGACAGAGGGCATGGGCTACACAGTCAAAACTTCTACAGAAGTTAGCGGGAGTTTTAGGTGTGCCAGTAGCAGGCCAGATTTTCAAAGGCTCCCTCTGCCCAACTAATCTGCACCTGCCAAAGTTCTGCCCGTGGTACTTGCACATATGGCTAATGGAGAGCACAGAGTCTACCATTTAGGTGGTGATAACTACATACCTGATTGGAGGTGCAAGTCAGAGAGTTAGCTGTGGAAGCAGGAGGAATTAAGGCTGGGATTTTGTAAATAGCCTAAGGGAGTTAGGCACTCAACTGCTGCTAAAGTTCAATAGGATTTGGGTACCCTTAGATTCCTTTGAAACTCCTAGCCAAAGAGGGCAAGATGGGAAAAGTACCTAAATCAGTCAATGGTGCTTGGGTTCCTAGATCGCTTAAGCACATTTCCAAATCCCACCCACCAGGAATTATGGATGCAAGCAATGAAGATGCAAATCTTGTACATGGAAAGAGAGGCCAGCCCTGTAAAAACCTGGCCTTGGATGTAAAGAGATGCTTACCAAAGATTAGGGAGGAATCTGATCTTCAAAGGGGCCAGCCCAAGGACTACGGCCCACTTGGATCTCTGGCTGGCATGGGATTTAAGTGGCCCATAGCCCTTGTACTGGCCTTCTGCACAGGGGTGAATTTCACCCTGGATTCATGAGGATCTCATAATGAGAGGTGAAAAGAACTAGGAAATACATGGGAGGGGACAGTGGGGTAATAATGAGGAAAGAACAAGGTGACCTGAGCGGTCTATTTGTCTGTGGCCTCACCTCAGGAGAGGATTTAGGGACTGGTTGTTTCACACGATTCCAGGTTGATGTCCTTCGTTTAATCTCTCGCTCCCAGCTGTAACGAGCTCCAGTACTCCCAGTACGCCGCCGCCTGCGACAACGTGCAGATCCAGAAGCTGCAGAGCGATGGCTACTGCCTCAAGCTGACGGACATGAAAGGCTTCTTCCAGCCCTGCTACGGGCTGCTGGATCCCCTGCCCTTCTACGAGTCCTGCTTCCTCGACGGCTGCTACAACCACAAGAAGTTCCAGCTCTGCGGCTCTCTCGCCGCCTACGGGGAGGCCTGCCGCTCCTTTGGGATCCTCAGCACCGAGTGGATAGAGAAGGAGAATTGCTGTAAGAGCGCTATTCTAACCCTGTTCCGTTCTCTGGCCCATAGCGCCTATCGCTTAGGAGCACCATCCTCTGTATCCAGCCGGACTGCAGGCTCAATCAGCGAGAGGCTAATGCAGAGAGATGGGAGCCAGAGCAATTAGCGATAGGTCCCCTAGATGATTTGGAACCTGGCTACCTTAGAGGCGACCTCCATCCCGATGTGCTACCGTGGCTGCTGAGTCAGCAGAGGGACTTCTGTGGTAGCTTGCCCTCGATTGAGGAGCGGAGACAAATATTGTTGGTCAAAAATTTTTCATCTAAACTGTTTTGTTTTTGTTTTTTAACAGAAAACTGAGTTTTGGATAAACTTGATATTTTTCACAAAGCGTGCATGCTTTCTGTGGAGAATTTCAATGCGTCATTGAAAAACTGAACTCCTGAAAACCAAAATCTTTTTATTCAGATATCCTGCTGCAGTACCTCATGGGAGCAGTAGGTTGGTTTCTTCATGTCCTCTTTCTCCTCTGTGGTCTGGGCTCCCCAGCTCGACTACATCTCCCATGATGCACCATGACCAGGACTCCTGTGATGCGACCTCTCACCAACATGAGGAGGAGACCGTGGTGCATCATGGGAGATGTAGTCTGACCAGGGAGCCTGGCCTACAGAGGAGAAAGGGAGCATGAGGTACCTGAACTACAACTCCCATGAGGCACATAGATAACATTTTGGAGTACAGATATTTTGGTTGTCAAGTTTTTGCTGAAAAGTGGACATTTTCACGGGGTGCAGGGGCAGGGCAGATTTCATTCTCCATCCAGCTCTAAAGACAAGACACTGTCTCTGGAGGCTCCTTAACTAAGCAACATGCTCCCCCTAGTAGTCCACCCCAACTGGATCATGCTCACCTCCAAAGTATACTGGCTGTGGCAAGCATTTGCCTGACCTAGGGCTAAGGACATATTGGAGATGTTCTTCCGCTGGTGTTCTAGGGGTAGGTGGTAAATGATCCAAATAGTCTGGGTTGATGCTTTGTTTGTAAAGTACCCAGAAGCCCAGGCTGAATAAATTGTTTGTTAATATCGGTCCATGCTGTGGAAACTTCACTTTCTCCAGACTCAGTGGGAGTCTGATGCCAGTCCAGTCCTCGCCTGAGTAAGGACTTTGAGGGCAGCATTGTTAACCTCAAGTACTCATAAAATCACAACTCCAGCCCCAAGAAATCATGAGATTGGCTTAATAATCATGAGATTTTTTTTTAAAAAGTATACATTCATTTAAAAATAATATGGTGGGTACCTTAGACTTCTAGTTCCTGAGCCTTTAGGTCAGACTCATTTTATGCTTTCAAGCTTTTCTCTGCAATCAGGAGGGCTAGAAACTGACTTTTTTAAAAATGGAAAGCTGATATTCTCATGTATTCACATCACTCCAGGAGCTGGGGCTTTAAAAACACATCAAATAGCATGAGATAAAATTGCTGGAGTTAGCAACACTGCAGGGGTTTAGTGGGGTAATAAAGAATTGTCTGGGTACTGGTCTGAAAATAAAGTTGTTGTCTTCGTCTGTCTTTTCCTTTTTAGCAGGAGTGGTTGAAGATCCCTGTGTGGGGGCCGACTGTCCCAACAGAAGCTGTGAGCTTGACAACGGAGGGGAGTTGTGCGGTTGTATCGAACCTCCACCCTATGGAAACAGTGAGTGACCCCACATGCATCCACTCGGTGTCTCAGGAGGCTAATTGCAACGTTGGCTCTCGTGTTTTTAACTAAGTTAAAAATGGGCCTTACGTATTTATATGGGACACAGATAAGCCAACTCCTTCAGCAACCACTTCCCACTCAGACCCACACAAACTTCGAACCTCAAATCCAGTGGAGCTACAGTACACTAGGGAGGAAAGGTGTTTATGTGATTAAAGCACCAAGACTTGGTTGTCAAGGCTCTTTGGTTCTACTCATGTCCCTGCCACTGACTTGCATTGTGACCCTGGGCAAGTCACTTCCCCATGCTTCAGTTTCCCAATCTGTAAAATAGGGCTAATGATAACTGCTTCACATAGGTGTTGTGAGCCTAAAGTCACTAATGTTCGGCAAGCGTTATGAGATCTTCAAATGGAATGTGCTGTAGAAGAGCAAGGTGTTGTTGGGTTGATTGGTAACTCCCAACATGTCAGATCGCATCTAAAATCTGGTCCCACTGGTAAAAATGGAGATTTTTTGGTGATTTTTATCGATTTTCATAAAGAAACTGACAGTGAAAAGTACAAAAAGGTAAATGACTTTACAGCTCATATATGTTTCCAAATATTGCATGCTTCATGCGATTTCCAATAAAATTATGGAATGATGCAATTTTACAACTTGTCGAAGTTGCAAGACCGGACATTACAAAACCAGACAATACTACAGAGACACAACATGTTCGTGTGTGGGATAACATACCATGAACCAAAACCAGAAATTCACAAGTAGCCACAGACACATCACACAGCCTGTCCATGCTGAAAGATGACTCCTGCCTGGAGCAGACTTTCATACAATCAAGGAAATACAGGGGCAAATTCTCAGCAGATGTAAACTGGCATAATTCTTCTGATTTTGGTGATGCTATGCAGATCTATGCAACATGAGGATTCAGTCCTAGATATTGAAAACTCCTATTAATTCAGCTAGTCTTTCCATCAAGGGCCAACGAAGGAGAGTTTCCAATGGTATATTTTCTGCTATTTTAGTCAGCCTTGTTTTCAACTTGCTGGGAGCCCCTGGGCCTCACCTAATTTCCTTACACATGTGCATACATTTTTAAAAATCAAAAATCAATTTTGCCCAGTCCTCTTCTCCTCAATCAATGGATATAAATTGCTTGTCGTCTAAGTTCAGTGGCAACAAAAATCTGCTCAGCTTTGTTCTTCACCTTGCAGTTATGGGGAATGGGGAGCAGCTGTCCCATTAACAGGGTTCAGAGGCATTGGATTTTGCAAGCTACTTTTGACCCTTCTTCTGTACTGTGCATGCATTCCCTTCCCCAGCTTGAGGACATAATGGCACAGACCATGCAAAACATGCTCAGTCTGAGGTAGGTGAGAACACGACAAATGCAAACTCAAAACTGGCTAATAGAGGAAAAGGATTTGGTGAGAAAAGAACCCTAGCCCGCAGTACAAACCAGCCTCCCCTGAGGGGAGGGGCACGGAAACAGATGTGGCAAGGGGTGGCTAATGCCCCCCTGGATCTGCTCATAGATACAATCCCTAGAGAATATCACCACTCCCCAAAAACCGCCTAGGCCAGCACAGAGGGCCCGAGCCGTGTCCTATCAATCCCCCATACAAATAACCTTTACGAAAGCATTATCCAGAGCTCTTCCAAATGAAGTCACTTTGCCCATCCCATAGTCCTTCCATTTGAGGATCTCAAAGCACTCTCCAGACATTGAATTAATTCCCCACCCTGCGAGGTAGGGAAATGCTACCCCCATTTTAGAGATGGGGGAAACTGAGGCACAGAGCAGTTAAGTGACATTTTCAAGGTCACCCAGTAAATCTTTGGCAGAGCTGAGAAAAGAACCCATATGTCCTGAAGTCTCAGACCCGTTCTGTTGTCACAACTCCAAAAGCAAAGAAGAATCAAGACAGCTTAAGCTGCAGGACAAGATCGAGATGCCAAGAACTTTTAGGAAACCGTAGCAACTTTTCTCACAGTGTCATCATCAGACCGACTAGCGTGACAACGCAGAAGAGTAGCCAGCTCATAGGCACGTCGGCAGGGACTCAGACCCACGTAGCATAGGCGGCATACGGGGTACAATCACAGCAGCGTCGCACCACCAGAACTGGTAATATATGCAAACGCACACTCCTAAGCACCAAGCATATCCATCTTAATGAAGTTACAGTTAATCTGCCTTGTTTTATTTTGCACAAATAATGGAACTCTGAAGGCAGCACAAATAACATTCAGTTAACAAAATAAATAAGACTCCAGAAAAGACCTGGAGATTAGGAGAGTATGATCTGGTGGTTACAGCCGGTGCCCAAGGAGTCAGGACTCCAGAGTTCTAGTCTTCAGACTCATCGCGTGACTTTGGGCAAGTCCTTTTCCTGCTCTGTGCCTAAGTTTCCTCATTTGTATAGCAAGGGTAAGGATACTTAGATAGTGAACTCTTTGGTGTCGCTGTTTAGTTATGTCTGTCCAGTGATGACAGGCGCAGTCCATGAGTAGGGCTCCTAGGAGCTATCCCAATACAAATAATAATAACTAACATTTATGTACCAGCTTTCATTCCAAAGGCTACCCATATAACCCACTGGGGCATGTGTTACATGGTACCCATCTATAGAGGGCATGAGCTGTTATAGCCATACTCTAGGGGGCCCCAGGCTCATGAGCTCGAACAGGAGCAGCTCATGCTTTTAGCTCTGGGTTCAGCCACCCCGACGTGTTGGCCAAGGGGGAGGCAGTTCCACATGCACCAGTGAAATGCAGCCACCTCTGGGTGTCCAGGGAGAGGACTTTAGGCCGAGAACATCCCACCAAAACCCCCAATTCTGTTAGAAAAACTCTCCTGTGATTGTTAACATCCACACCAAAGCTCAGATTTTGAGGCCTAGAAGCATCATGGAAGTCAGTCTAATTCCCTTGGGGAGATGAAGGGCTGAGTCAATGCTGCCAGGATTTCAACCTATGGCTCCAGAGAATAGAATCTAAACTATCATATGGCTAGACCACTAAGACTTCCCCTTCAGCTCTGTCACTCTTGCCTCTGTGACAGGCCTCCCACCTAGGATGACTAGACATCCTGATTTTATAGGGACAGTCCTGATATTTGAGGCTTTGTCTTACGTATGCACTTATTAACACTCACACACACACACCGTCCTGATTTTTCACACTTGCTATCTAGTCACCCAACTCCCAGCCCACTATCTGTAAGTAAGATACTATCTACCTGTGAATTCCGAGGCTTGTCTTTGGAGTGATTCATTGATGCTGTATGGATGGGAGAGCCCACTGCGTAATCCTGGCTGGTCACTTTCAAGACAGCGGCTCACACAGCCGCTGCAAGTGCTTCAGGCCAGGACTGAATGCCAGCTTCCCTGTCAGTGGGTGCAATCTGCATCCACAAAATGAACTGCCTGTGCAAATCTGGGCACTTGCATTTCTGGCTAATCCACCTTGCACCTTCAGCTGAACCGTGGGTGCAAACTGAGCCTATAAAAGGGAGTTCACCCTTCTGAACAATTAACCTCTTCTATCCTCATCTCATCTAACAGCTGCAGGTACTGAGGGTCATTTCATTGTTCAGTTTATGCTAGTGATGGGCCTGAATTGTAGGGGCCAGTTTAGTACATTGTAAAATCATAGAAGATTAGGGTTGGAAGAGACCTCAGGAGGTCATCTAGTCCAACCCCCTGCTCAAAGCAGGACCAACCCCAACTAAATCATCCCAGCTAGGGTTTTGTCAAGCCGGGCCTTAAAAGCCTCTAAGGATGGAGATTCCACCACCTCCCTAGGTAACCCATTCCAGTGCTTCACCACCCTCCTAGTGCAATAGTCTTTCCTAATATCCAACCTAGACCTCCCCCACTGCAACTTGAGACCACTGCTCCTTGTTCTGTCATCTGCCATCACTGAGAACAGCCGAGCTCCATCCTCTTTGGAACCCCCCTTCAGGTAGTTGAAGGCTGCTATCAAATCCCCCCCTCACTCTTCTCTTCTGCAGACTAAATAAGCCCGGTTCCCTCAGCCACTCCTCATGAGTCATGTGCCCCAGCCCCCTAATCATTTCCATTGCCCTTCACTGACCTTGCTCCAATTTTTCCACATCCTTTCTGTAGTGGGGGGCCACAGTCATGGGTTCAGTTCCAGATCGGGATCTGAATTTCCCAAAGTCAGGGGGATAGGTGGGACTGTCGGACCTAGTGTTCTGGTTCAGATCCATCCCTATTCTATACATCCTTCGCTGGTCCAAGCTTTACTGATGGTACAATAACTGGTAGTTCTATAATCTCTAACGCTGATGTGCACAGAACATCCCCCTCCTGATTGGCCAGCTCAATGCCGACTCTCAATTGTTATCCTTTAAAACCACCCGTGTTGCTCCTAGACACGCATGACATCATCGACGCAGAGGTGACCTGCAAAGCGGCACAGATGGAAGTGTCCATCTCCAAGTGCAAGCTCTTCCAGCTGGGCTTTGAGAGAGAAGGCGTGCGTGTGAATGACCGCCACTGTCCTGGCATCGAAGGAGAAGACTTCATCTCCTTCCAGATCAACAACACCAAGGGGAACTGCGGAAACATTGTGCAGGTGAAAGAGGAGTGGGGGAGGCGGCTCATATTTAATGGTGCATGGTTACAAAGTAGATGCTGCTGGGGTGACATGTGGAAACACATGCCATGGAACAGAACCAAACGGCAAAGAAAGGAGAGAGAGAAACACGCATTCCTTTCAGTGTCAGGTTTATTATTTGAGCTCAAATGTCACGATGGCTGAATAATGCTTCAGTGCTTCATTAAATTACATTAGGGGATGATCACATACACACTCTTCACAGTGTGGGTTCTTTCTTTCTATCTTTGTGTTCTGATAGGCAGCTCCAAACACTTTTGTGTGCATGACAGAAGATACAAGGTGTTAGCGCTTGTGTACTGTCCAAATTCCAGCCTGGGTGCTTAAATTTTGCCTACTTAAACTTTCCCCTGATATTTCACTGGAACATGGTATTCATGAGGACTGTTAAACAGATGATGTGTTCTTCCCCAGAGGTGGTTGCATTTCAGTGGTGCGTGTCGTGTGTATCTGTTGCGTTGGGATCTTTTATGATGGTGCTGTTATAAATTTAACATCATAACCTCTGTACACATTTAGAGTCTTTTTTCAGTCTAGTAGTAAACGCAAGCTGATTTATTATTATTATTTATAATCTATTACTGCAATGTCCAGAAGCTCCAGTCAGGGATCAAAGCCCCATTGTGCCAGGTGCTGCACAAATATAAAACAAAAAGCCATCCTTGCCGCCAAGCAGTTCACAGTCTGTCTGCAAATTATTTTTTATGGAATGACTTTAATATACTGCTTTCAGAGCTGTGAACTGGAATCGTGATGGATGTGTTAACCCCTAAAAAGAATAAAATTTGTTTCTTTTTCTCTTGCACAGTCCAATGGCACTCATATTGTGTACAAAAACACTGTGTGGATTGAAAGTGCAAACAACACTGGAAACATAATCACCCGGGACCGAACCATCAATGTGGAATTCTCATGCGCTTATGAGCTTGATATCAAAATTTCTCTGGATTCGGTAGTGAGGCCAATGCTTAGGTAAGACTGGCCTGTGTGTGCTTTAGATTTTCCTGTTTGTGTGTGTGAATTTAATGCTGGTCTGAGAGCCCGGAGGTTAAAGTCTCCTCTATTTAACCTGGAAAAGGGAGCTAGCTTAATTCAGGCTAGAAATGTTAACAGTGAGAGTAACTAACTACAACAACTACCCCCACAAGGGCGTGGTGGATTCTACATCACTTAATGTCTTTAAATCGAGAATGGAAGGGGTGGGGTTTTTTTGTAAAAAATGTGCTCTAGCTCAACCATAAGATATGGGCATGATGCAGGAATTATTGGGTGAAATTCCTTTGCCTCAGTTATCATAATGGTCTTTACATTATGAATCCACAGTACAAGAACAGTATGGGCCATGGAGGGCTAGCTTCTCTCATGCTGCTCCAACAATTTGTCTAAGCCTTGATCTGTAGGGGGCCCTTTAAGGAATTTGCATGGCCCATTCAGCCTTTGGCCTCCGTTATATGCTGCCAGTCAATGATAATTATGGTGGCAGTTGTGGGACTGAGAACATCAAACCGGGGTCACATCAGCCACCAAACGTCCATTGGATGGTAACAATTTTCAGTTTTGCAGTATTCAAACTAGTAACCTAGATATGAAAAGCTCCATCTCCTGGTCCCTGTCCCTTAGACCCTATCCATTACCCTCCCCTTTTGTAGAGGACGATCTTTCTGTTGCTTTCTCATGAGCTTTATTTCTCTCCTTTAGTGTGATTAACCTGACAGTCCCAACACAAGAAGGCAGTTTCACAACCAAGATGGCATTGTACAAAAACTCATCCTATAAGCACCCCTACCGACAGGGTGAAGTGGTTCTAACCACCCGGGACGTGCTTTATGTCGGGGTCTTCGTTGTCGGGGCAGATTCCACACACCTGATTCTAACGCTGAACAAATGTTATGCAACCCCTTCTCGGGACAGCAATGACAAACTCAGATACTTCATCATCGAAGGAGGGTCAGTGACATCTGGCAAGATTTTTCTCTCTGTTTTACTTTCCTTTGGGGATCTAAAAATCATTGGCTGGTGTAAAGCACCAGATGATCTGAACCTAGGAACATTACAGGAGGCTTATTTCTTCCTCTAATGCATGCACTAAGGTCTGCTGTCCCATACCAAAATAGAAGGACCATTGATCTGTACCTCTGTGGTTATTCCTAGCATCCTAAGGGAACGGCCAGAGGTGCTCAAGTGTCATGCTGAAGAGCACAGTTTAAGAACCTAGAAGAAGGCTGTAGTTGGACATCTAGCATTGCCTCTGGTGGTGGAGAACCTGGACTCCATGCTATTCCCTAGACAGGCAGATGTTTGCAGATATCAGTATACTTGGTTAAATGTTGGCCCATTTGTGGATTATTTCTGGGAGAAATTCTAACAGTTTTAATATGTTACCACCTGCATTTGGAGTTAATAACAATAAAGCAATAAATAACACTTACAATAATAACAATAAATAACACTTACATAGACCTTTTCATCCAGGAGCGACTAGGTGCTTTGCAAGGTGCCATTAGCCTCATATGGCAGATGTAGAAATTGATGCACAAAAGAGAAGTGCTTACATGTTCAAGAGTGTCCACTAATTTGGATGCTCAACACAAGACATCCAGGAGGGCCTGATGTTCAGATAGTTTTGAGCTCACACAGCTGCTATTGAACTTACAGGAGCCTGTGAGTTGTACACCTCTGAAAATCAAGCCCCAAGGGTTGCAGCTTGGGCATGTAGGGCTAGTGGACCCTTCTATGCCATCAGGATAGTGGCAAGGTTGGGAACAGAATATGTACATCTGCTTCCACTACTGAATCCTTATATGACGTGGGCAAGTCAGGTAACCCCGCAGTGCTTCTAGAATGTCTCGAGGCATAATTAATTACTGCTGTAAAGGCTCGGAGATCCTTGGATGGCAGGGGCTGTAGAAATTCAAAGTTTATTAGTCATCAGAATAGCTTGGCATTACCTCAGTTTACTTACCTCACTGCAGCAAACAGTAAAGGGGAAATGTTTTTTTAATAAGGCATGGCCTCGAGCTGCCAAATTGGGGCTTGGATTCTGAACAGTCCAGAGTTGAGAGGGCTCATAAGGGGGAGTTCAAGCAACATCTGGAGAAAAGGATCATTTAGTTTCCCTGTTGACATAACTCACAAGCACTGGGGATCTGCAGAATTTTTTAGAAGCTCGCAACCATTCCTGGACCCAGCTGAGACTCTGTATTTTCCTCTTAGTTGCCAAAATATTAAGGATAACACCATTGGGATTGAGGAGAACGGGGTATCCCTGACCTGCCGCTTCCACGTCACCGTCTTCAAGTTCATCGGGGATTACGATGAGGTTCATCTCCACTGCGCCGTCTCCCTCTGTGACTCGGAAAAATACTCCTGCAAAATAGTACGTGTGTGCGGCCTTAGGGTGTTCTGTGGGCTGGGTGGTGCTCCATGCTGGAATCATTTCCCCAAGGCCACTGTGTGGCAGGAGAACAGTTTCCTGGGGGCTACTCCCGGGCATTGTTCCAAAGGGAGCAATGCCCAATAGATTAACATAAGAATGGCCACACTGGGTCAGACCAAAGGTCCATCCAGCCCAGTATGCTGTCTACCGACAGTGGCCAATGCCAGGTGCCCCAAAGGGAGTGATCCTAACAGGTAATGATCTTGTGATCTCTCTCCTGCCATCCATCTCCACCCTCTGACAAACAGAGGCTAGGGACACCATTCCTTACCCATCCTGGCTAATAGCCATTAATGGACTTAAGCTCCACAAATTTATCCAGTTCTCTTTTAAACCCTGTTATAGTCCTAGCGTTCACAACCTCCTCAGGCAAGGAGTTCCACAGGTTGACTGTGCGCTGAGTGAAGAAGAACTTCCTTTTATTTGTTTTAAACCTGCTGCCCATTAATTTCATTGGGTGGCCCCTAGTTCTTATATTAGGGGAACAAATAAATAACTTTTCCTTATTGACATAACTTTCCTCTCCTCACTCCCTCATCCTCCCAGAGCCTGGCACATGGTTTGCCCCTGTGCAATTAGGCTACATGGAATCCCACCCAGCAGAACAAGTTCAGGTCCACTGTATCAGAGAAGAAGGGCCAGAATTTTCCCTTAATGATGCTAATCCAACACCACTGCAGCCTCAACGGGAGCTGTGCAACAGCTCTCAATGGGAGCAAGGCCAAATCCAGGGTTGAGATCAGAGACTAGCGCACGGTGATCACAAAGCCTTGCAGTAATCGCCCCTTGCGGTTTTGTTTGTTCAGAACTGCCCCCAGAATTCCAGGATGGCCACTGAGTATACCAAAGAGCCCAAGGAGCAGATCATCTCGGTAGGGCCCATCCGGAGAAAGCGTAAGTGTGCACAGCTAAGAATGTAGAGGAAAATATTCCCTCCTGTGTAAACTATTCTGAACCTTTGATTATTAAATGGGCAAGCGCAAGATAAATCATAAATATATTGAGAAACAGGGTCCTTTTACCCCATCTGAATGTATTACAGTAGGAAGCAACCCATTTTAATCGTGCAGGTTTCACCATTTGTTTTTACATTTGTCACATGTACATTTTATGCAGCAGGGCACTAAAACTCAGCTGGCCAGTTTCACGTTTGATGCCTGGTCAGTTTCACTTTCTGGTTCTCCTGAGCTGGCAACTCTTTTCAGTTCTGTGCATCACTTCGTAGGGGAGAGAGAGTCCCGTGTGGAGCCACTTCCTCACCCAAAACCCCACGCTGCGTGTCTGCCCATTCATCCCTACATGTATCCGTCCTTCCCCTTCTCTTTAGCCGAGGTATGGCTAAGGCATCTCTTACCCTGGACCCAACTTCTCAAAAGCATCCACCAGCTCTAGGCATCCCTGTCCTTGGGTACCCAACTAGAGAGAGAGTCTCATTATTAGAAATGCTGAGCACCCACTGCCAGCCCCCAGTGAGGTGATTCCTAGGGCAGTGGTTCTTAACCTGTGTGGTCCACAGCCCCCAGATGGCAGAATATGTCTAAGATTTCCAAAGGGGTCCACATCTCCATTCAAAATATTTTAGGGGTCGGCAACTGGGAAAAGGTTGAGAACCACTCTTCTAGGGAATGGCTTCCTCCTCAGTTTTCCTTTCCATCCTAACTCCCCTCTCCGCCACACCTTCCTTCTCCTCCTGCTCCTCTTCCTCAGTTTCTTTTCTCCATTTCCCCACCATCCTGACCAGCGGAAGGTTCATCTTTCCTCCTCCCCAACCCACACCCCCGTGTGCTGATCTGGAGGAACAATTGATAGACGGGTCTTTACCCAGCCCATGGCCAATGGAGATTGCACTGGTCTGTGGTTTGTGGGCTCTGCCTGACGAGCACTGATCAGTGCACTTGGGGTCGGTGATTTTGCCATTGACTTAAGTGGGAGCAGGCTCTCTGGTCCTAAGCTAAGTGCAGGGCTGTCCAAAGAATTGATGTGGGTGGGTCTGAATCAAAGCCTCCCTACCCTTCAGCGGCAGGTTGAATGGCACCGTAGAGCTGGGTGTAAATGCAACGGGGGTCGGAGGGGGGGAATGCTTTAATCAAGAAAATGCTTTCAGCGTCATTTCTAGCTATTAAGCTTTGTAATGCCCTTTTCCGTACAACTGCGTGCTGCTCTCTCCTGAGCCCCCGATCTCTCCTGTTCCAGGGTTAGACTGGTGCGAGGATAACGGAGGCTGCGAGCAGATCTGCACGAGCAGGGTCGACGGGCCCCTGTGCAGCTGTGTTACCGGGACATTGCAAGAAGATGGCAAGAGCTGCAGAGGTGACTATCTGAAGGGCTGCCTTAGGGAGGCTGGGAATGGGCCTGGGTAGATGGAACAGACGAGCAGCATGATGCAGATGGGAAAAGGGATTCTTCTTTTCAAACCCCCCTTTAAATCTGTATGGAAAGACCGTAGAAAAATAGTCCTGTCTCCAAGACACAAAGCTAAAAACTAGATCTAGATCCAGGGTTTGGGCCCATCTCTACCATTAACCATCAGAAAAATTAAGAGAGAATGGTGAGGAATGGAACTGAAGGGAACTGCTGGAAAAAGAATTGGACTTTGGAGACTTCTGAAATAAATACGTGTGTTTCAGAGGCTCGGAACATTAAAGGAATAGAAGAGGGAGGGAGCATTGTCATCTAGCGGGGAGATGGGGGGATTAGGAAGTCACAGCTCTTGGATTCGATGCTGATTCCTGGGAAAGCCATTCCTGCTCACACATCAGCTATGTTGGGGTGCTTCCATTTTTGGGTACCCAACTGGGAAATACCTTGGGACCTGATTTCAGCACGTCTCCGAGGTGCTGAGCATACACACACACATCTTGTTGAGGTCAGTGGAAGCTGCTGGTGCTCAGAACCTCTGAAAATCAACTTCTCGGAATCTCAAATTCACTTGAGTGGACACTTCTGAAAACGCGGGGCTTCCACCTTTCTGTGCCTTGCATTCCCCATCTACAAACAATAATATCACCACCTTCATCACTAGGGGGCTTGTGCAGCATCAGGTGATCCTTGGACGAAGGATGCTAGGAAATTGCAAGGCGATATTATTACTGTGACTCACACCCCTGATCGGCAGACTCGTGCTGTCACAGTGTAGAAGTTTGTCCTTTCGAGACTCTCATGTTTTGATCTCTAAATGATACAACCTTTGATTATTTGGAACTGCGCCTTTTTGATTTTCAGAACTGTTCTCTGTCTTTCCCTCTAGCCTCCAGCTCTTCCATTGGACCTCAAGCTTGGCTCATTCTTCTCATCGTAACCCAGCTGTCACTATGGCGTTTTATCTATAAATCAGAGCCGACCTCATAATCAATTGAAGGCTTCTATTTAAAGTACTGTAATTTACTTACTCTGAATCCCTGTAGGATAAAAGCATGTGCCCCTGACTCACAACCTGTACCACAAACAACAACAAGTGCTTTTAACTATCACAATGCTGAAGGCGGTTGCCTGGTACACCAATTTAAATGAGGTTACAAGCTACTTTAATACAATGGGCGGTAACAGCAGCCAAAATTTCAGGTATGGAGCCACAGCAGAAAACACTTGACCAAGATCTTCCTCCTTTCTCAAGTCTCCATACTGCCTTCTTCTCATATTCACTTCTGGCACCTCTTTGACACCCTTACAATGCTCCCCAGCCTCTCTGCTTACAGTATTCCCTCTTGCTTCCCCTTTCCCTATCCTGCACAGCCCCACATTCATTGTAGCCAATAGCAGTGTTTCCCTTGACTTCAGTGGGCTTTGAATCAGGCCGTAAGCTCCAGCTAAGTTTCTCTCCTGACTGCTCCCTCTAGCTTTGCTTGTGCTAGAGAAATTTACCTGTGTAAGAACCAGTTTAGCCCTTAGGGCACTTTGCACCACACAGATATATTTCAATGGGGGTGCAAGAACTGGTTGGAGCAGGCTAGACTTTCAGCAGGCTAAAAAGCAGATCAGTCTAAACCAGTTTGGTGCCACTGTGGAAACGGACAAGCTAAGAGGGTTCATCTAGTCCGCAAAGCGTTTTGATCTCTCCCAGAATCCACTGCTTCTGGGAGTGGCACTGAGAATTCTGAGAGGCGAGGAAATGGTTTAGAACACCACTAGTGTGGACACGGGATACCCAAAACCGTTCTTAAACCAATTCGACATCGTTAGTATGGACGCAATGAACAGTTTGAACTATAACTGGTTCAATCCGCTAGTACGGTCACCACTTTTATTTCGTTCAGTAGCTCCCACGTGTCCCCTGGACATCAGAGAGTCTTCTTACCCTTCAAACTCCTTCTCAGCCCCTCTTGCAAATCCATTTCAGACCCATCTTGCTCCTCGTGTGTTAATGATCCCACATAACTCCAGGGCTGCCTGTTCTTTCTCTTCTCAGTCCTGTCTTTAGATCATAAGTCGGTCACAGCAGGAACGTTTTCTGCTCCTAACCATGTGGATTTTTTATTTTTACTTACTAGAAAACACCCTGTCTGTCTATGACACAGTATCAATAATAAATGTAATTGATCAGAGTCAAGCACCCATAACAACACCTCTCAGCTTGTACCCCTGTCATTCTCTCAATTGCAAAACAGCCATTAAATTCCATTGCAGCAACGTGCCAATTGAGAGGAGTGAATTGCCTCTGATGCAATTTAGTGCTGAGATGATTGAAAGGTTTGACACACTCTGAAATCTTAAATTTTTTAGCCTGAGCTACCGTTTCTTTCCTCTAACGGGATCCACACGCTGTCTGCAAATAATGATTGCTTTGTACCCAAAAAGCAGCTTTTCCCCCACTGGATTTTTTTTCTTGTTTGCATCTGGGCAAATCTTCCCCCCCACTACCACTTTTTTTTTTATTATATGAATCGGCCAAATAATTTAAACATGTTTTATTCTTAAATAAATGTTGTGTTCAAATATTCTCATTTCCTTGGTGCACTGAATGCTCATTCTTATTTAAAGCTGGGGACACGTGGTCACATGAACTTCATATGCAAAAATAGGGCTGATTCTTTATTCCAAGTTAAAGAACATCAAGCTGGAAATAAGATGCATGATTTTAACAGAGAGGGTAATTAACCATTAGAACAGAGGGGCGAGGAATGCGGTACATTTTCCATCACTTGTAGTCTTTAAATTAAGACTCTCGCTGTCTTTCTGAAAGATGTGCACTAATTCCACCGCAGGCTATTGGGCTTAATGCAGGAATTGCTAGGTGAGGGTCTCTGGCCTGGGTGATGCACAAGGTCAGACTAGATGATCACAATGGTACATTCTGGCCTTGGAATCTATTCACCTAATGTGTGCTTTTGTGACTGTTCTGTCCTCTGTGAAGCTCAGAAGTCACTGTGGGCCCTTCTGAATCTCAACATATGTGAATAGGATTTTCTTGCTTGCTTTCGTCTTGTTTTAAATGAGGTACCCACCAGCTGGGAAGGTGGCTGAAATCAACTCCATTCTTGGTAACTCTCCTAAGGTTCTGGCACTGCCTACCTTATGCTTTGAAGGAGGAAGCCTGGTCTAGTGGTGAAAGCAGGTGGTTTGTGTTCCATTTGTGACCTTTGTCCACTCACTTAATCTCTTTGTGCCTCCATCTGCAAAATGGGGATTGCCAATGCTTTGAGATTGTAGCAGCTAAATTGCATTCAGTGGAGGTGAGAGGTACCCCGTTCAAGTCCTCCCACAGTTCAGGATTTTGGCACAGTGTAGAGAAACCTCAGGGCTGCTCTAAATTGCACTGGCTGTTATCAGCCCTCTACAGGGCTATTGTGCTACCTGAGGATTGCTGGAGTGCAGCAGCGTTCTATGATCCTAAACCAGGGAGTCACTTAAGCCAGCATTCGGTCTGCTTAACACTACCAGAGTTGTGCAAAGCAAACAGAACAGGGGGTCAGGATCTGGCTCAATATGTTTTTACTGCAGCAGCCTCCTGGAGGGAATGACGACAAGCGCCTTGGAGGAAGAAAATTTCCAGTGTAGCGCTCCTAAGCCAAATTGCTTTTAGGAAACGCAAACACCTAAATCATTCAAAGGAGATCACTGGAATAGCGCCTCTGTATCTTCCTCTGTGCAATACCATGTCATTGAGGGAAACGCAGGCGACTTGTATTTTATGCCAGAACCTATTTCCCCAGCATGTTGACAAATCTGGGAGGATAAGCTATCTCAGTGAAGTGTAGAAAGGCACATAACAGGAGGAGGGAACTGTCATGTAATATTTAGCGATCCTTTTTTCACTGCATGTGAATTCCTCTTATGCAATCTGATGAAGGAGCCGGCAGTTGCTGGGCTCTGAGTAATATGGCTCTTTTCTAGCAATGATAGTTTAATTTTGCATGCTGAAATCTAGCTGATGCATAAAACAGCAGCATAATAAAGGGACCAAACCTGCTTTGTACTGACACAAGTGAGGAAAGAAAACAACCCTATTTTGTGGAGTATTTGGCTGATGCAGCTACTTGTATTGTGCATTTTAGAGGATATACTTCTCTTAGATATTGCAAGAGGACATTATAGCCAGGTGACAGTGGTAAAAATGCTTGTGTCTAATCTGTACCAGCTCAGCATGGACAAAGCCTTAGGGGTTTGTCTACATTTGAAAGTCAATTTTGATTAAGGTTGGATGTGAATTCTAAGTGTAGCAGGTGTTCCTGAATAACTCTGTGTGTAGACAAGCTCTAAGGTCAGTAGCAGAGGTGGGGGAAAATATTGTAATCCCCAGATCTAACCACTACATGTGCTCTCTCCTATAACTTAAAACTGCCATGGCACTTCTCTCCTCTGTAATTTCCATGTAATCCTTTGATCTGAACTTCCTATTTAGTAGTAAGAGTGGCTTTGGAGGAACATCACTAAAAAGGGGAATGGAGTGTGTTTAAGTTAGTGGCTAGAGGAAGTAAACAGGACACCTGGTTCTACTACTGACCTGTTTGACCTTGGCCAAGTCATTTAACCCTGCTGTAAGTTATTTGTTAATTGGGTACCCTGCCATCCAGATATTAAAGAGTGAGGCTCAGACCTGTTGTCTTTGATACTATTAGCTCAGAGATAGCACTTGTTGTCTGTAGATCTCAATGTACTTAGGGGATGGGGGTGTTGAGAAGAACCTAGTCTGGATATCAGGGGCAGGGTTTCTGTTAGCTGATGGAAACAGGATCACATCCCACATCACCCCTTTCCTGCTGTTGCAGGAAAACCTCCCCACACTGGAGAAGTGTTACTCCTGTGATGAACAGAGTGAGATCAGATCTTTGGGGAGATGGGGTTGGGAAGGGCATGGATGCCTAAAACAGAGGTGAGAGAAACAGCAGTAAGGAAAAGGGTTGTAATACAGCTGGGTTGGAATTGGCTGTCTTATGGAGGGAGTGAAAGGTGAGGTGAGAATTTGGAAAGGGGGTGTGCTGCCTCTCCTGGGGGAGAAGAGATGCTCATGGTAAAGTAAGGCTTAATGGGCACTATGTCTTCATGAGTATAATGCAAATACCAAAGTAAGGTCTAGTGTAGCCATGCATGTTTATAGCAAACAGGTGATGGTGTTTCTGTTCTCAGGGGAACATGGCTGTAGAGGTAAAGGCCAGAAGCAACCACTAGCTCACCTAGGCTGAGCTCCTATATATCATAGGCCCCCAGCACCACCCTGCACCTGCCCTTAACCCAACCACTGGAATTAAAAGTATTGCAGCCCTGAGGAGACTAGACTATTATGAGCCACACAGAGAATAGGGGAGATTGAGATGCACAAGTGCCAAGGTCCCAACCCAGGCAGGGAAGTAATGGAGAGAGAGACCCAGATAAACCTGGACAGGGACCTGCTCACCCCTTGCAGAAAGTGAAAGCCCCCCAGGATCACTAACAATTTGACCAGGGGAAGTTTCTTCCTGACCCCACATGTGGCAATCAGACCTTGAGCATGTGAGCAAGAACCAGCCACTCCTGCACCTGAGAGAATGCTTGGTGCTACCTCACAGCCCTAGCCCTCTCCCTCCATGGCCCTGATCTTCAGAGGAAGGGGAGAGAAAAACAATGCACTGGTAGAGAGGGTGATTGGAATATCCCCTCCTTGCCCCTGCTGATGGCCAACTGAAACCTGAAGCTTCAGTTTTAGGAATAGAAGACAGACATGCTGAGCCCTGCCACTGAGCACCCCAAGCAGTTCCTTCATCTAATTGCATTCATAAAATGTACCCATCTGTCTCTTCAAGAGAATTAAGTTGTTTGCCCCACAACTCCTGTTGGGAGGCTGTTCCAGAACCTTGTCTCCCATCCCCATCCCACAGGGTTAGAAACTTAACTTCCAGCCTGAATTTGTTCATTGCCTGTTGATATCCACTTGTTAAGGCAGGTGCATTTACTGTTTAGTTCTGTGAAAAGCAGCCCTTAAGACATTGAGCCAGCTGCCTGTACTCCCCTTTCATATTCCAGGAGATCTTCCATGTCTTCCTCTGCCAGATTATTTAGGTCTGTCAAGATAACATCTAAAGCCTGAAAGACAAGAGAAATCCCAGACTTAATATGAAAGAAAGCGAGGTTGGGAGCTGAGCTGGAAGAAAAAGGGAGCTTAATACTTTATTTAAACTAAGGTATTTTAGCAAGTGACACTAAACAAAGGAGACAATATGCTGAAAAGATGGATCCAATTTTCAGAGATGACTCAGACTACAGCTTTTGTTTCAGATTTTAAACAGAAGAATTGTGCGTCTCTGGAGTAATCCAAGACAAAACATAATATCCCTTCAGATCTGAGGCAGTGAAGGTGCTATAGTCTTGAGAAATAAAAACCTGAAGGCACAGGAAAAAACCTACAAATTAAGGATTTTAGGGTCTATTGTTCCTTTAGTGTAGCAATAAATTTAAAATTGCTTACTATATTGCCATCTAGTGGCTATTTCCAGATAATAGATGTAGTATTGACAACTTTACCCTGAATTCATCCTGAAATTGTGCAGCCTTTGGGCCTTCAGATTCAACCTGATCTTCAGAGTCAACTCTGAAATAATGCTATGTTCCTGTCAAGCAAAGGTACTATCTTGTGTGCCAGGTGTCATTTTGAGGACAGTACCCTGGAAACCATGAAATGCCATCACTTAGCATCTGGGCAAATGCCTATTGTGATGAGATGTGCTGTGAGATCTTTAATGCCTGTGCAGAGAAAAAGGGATCTGTGGTGTATGGTATCACCTACAAAAAAGTCTCCCACACAGCTAGCTGTGTGGTACTCAGTATAGCTGCCTCTGAAGGATAAAGGGCTGAAATGCAGAGTGATGTAACCTTCTGGAGAAGGACAAGAGTATAGTCTAGAAGAAGCATGGGGAGGAGAGGACACTGAGCATCCTAAGGGTTAAAAAGAATTCAGAATATTAGTGGTGGTCTATCTAAATATGGGGGAGAGAGCAGGCTGGGTTCAGCAGAAAACAAAATTACTACAAGTACTGCTGTGTATAATCCCTTGCATTACAATCAACCCTTCATCCTTAATTAGCCCTGGTGGTACTTGGTGGATTTCTTCCCTCCACCTCCCCCCCGCCACCTTGCTGTACAGGGGGAGCTACAAGACAGCAAAAATCAACCTCTAAATATGAGGTTACTTACCACCTCAAAAGCTTTTTGATGGAAATCTCCCAGCGGAACATTTTCAGAGGTAGTCTGCTGCTGCTCCTGAATGCTAAAGTACTGCCTGACGAGAATATCAAACATCCAACCTGGGAGAAGAAGGAAGGATTCAGGTAAGATGTTTGAGCAGCAGTGGGGAGGACCCACATTGGGGTGGGAATGGCAGGAGAGAAAATCAGCAGGTTACTTTCTAGTTAGACACAAACAGCATTTCCAGTCCTCCATTTAAGGGCCTGGTTCTGCATAACTTTCTTGCATGAGGTAAAGGAAAGCAACCAGCACAGAGGGGTTCTGCTGACAAACCAAAGCAGATGAT